AACTTTGTACGGTTTAGCGTACCACCATGTGTTGCGTAAATGCCAGGGCGAGGAAGCCTTGTCATTTCTTTACTGTAAGGTGCTCTATTCGGTTTAACGTACCACAATGTGTTGTGTTTTTTGCAATGAATTGAAACAACCAATATGACAAAAAACATGAAATAAGCTCGTAAAAATTTTTGTGGGGAGAATTTTCGAAGTGGATTATCACACAAGAGTGCATCGAATGGATCCGGCACAGTTTGACAATCGCTCAACGGGAAGTCTGCCGTGTGATACCTTAGGTACGAACCAAATAAAAAACATGATTGAGGACAAAATTCAAAGCAAATAGTCGCCAGAATTTGGTTATCTGAAGCCCTCGAAGAAATTCGAAGAAACAACAAGAGAAAAGGAGTGGTGTGCATAATCACAAAGCGAGCTCTTACACAATGACTAAAACCACAGTATGTTAAATCAAGGATAGGCAGAGAGCTTCCTTTCTGTAAATTTTTTTACACAGAAATTACTCTCAAAGAGAGAACATGTGCGGTGGATTGCCCCATGTTGCTAGAGACGGACAAAAGCTTGGAAGCGATGGATCATCTGCCGTACAAAACCGACTTGGCACAAATGTCCCTTTCGATAGAAGAGCAAAGAAAAGAAGAGAGAACTCTTCCATCTATAAAAGAGAGAACCCGTCTATCTACAGAAGAGAGAACTCTTCCATCTACAGAAGAGAGAACTATTCTATCCACAGAAGAGAGAATTATTCTATCTACAGAAGAGAGAACTCTTCTATATATAGAAGAGTGATCTTTTTCTCCATAGAAGAGCGAACTCTTCTATGTATAGAAGAGCGAACTTTTATTCTATTTATAGAAGAGCAAACTCTTTTATTTGAAGAAGAACAAACACTTCCATCTATAGAAGAGCAAACTATTCTATCTATAGAAGAGCAAACTATTCTATCTATAGAAGAGCGAACACTACTACCTATAGAAGAGCGAACTCTTCTATCTATAGAAGAGCGAACTATTCTATCTATAGAAGAGTGGACTCTTCTATCTATAGAAGAGCAAACTCTTCTATCTAGAGAAGAGCGAACTCTTCTATCTATAAAAGAAGAGCCTTTTTACCCATAAATTTCTTTGCTTTATCTATAAATAGCTGGACGGTATTTGTTTATAATAACATCGGATATCTTATCTTCTCTTTCGATATATTTTCTTTAGATAGAACCTCCTTTCTCTCCCATAGATGTAAAACTCTCTTTTTCAGCTCATCTATCTATGAACAGGGGACTTTTATGTATGTCGAAGTGGGTAATCTCCTATCTATAGAAGATAAATATCCTCTATCTATAAAAGAGAAAGCTCTTCTATCCACAGAAGAGCGAGCTCGCGATATATAGAAGCGAGAAATCTTGTATCTATAAAAGAGAGAACTCCTTGACCTATAAATTTCATGCATAAATCTAACTCGTCTCTAAATAAAAGTGCTGCCTCTTTTTGCAATCGATGAATCTCTTTACTGTAAATAGGAAACCTCCTCTCTCTGTCTCTTCTATAAATTGAAGAGGTCTATATTTAATGAGAGATAATCAATATCTCCCTTCTAGTAATTTGCAACCGTGACATTTCAGAACTTTTCAATAATGGCCTAAATGTCCAATTGGTTTTCTGCATCGCCCTATCGCTCCCTCCCACCCCCTTCGTTTTATTTATGCATGTTCCACTAAAGCATATGTAAACCAATGTTGCAGCTTGAAATATCAGTAAAGCTAGGACAATGCGAGTACCACGCGCACCACAGAGGCTTGTCATTGCGGCATTGCTTTGGCCTCGTCCTCATAAGGAGGATAATGCTGCCGCCATTGGCACTGCCATTTACACACATAAATACATATGTTTATGTAAAATAAATTTGATATCGTGTCATGTATGTGTATAGCTCGCTTGCAACCCGGCTGACTCGCTTGTTGGTGATGGCGCGGATAACGGTAAGGATGATGAGAATTCCAGCCTGCCTTCCCCAATTCTTGGCATTGTGTCTCTATGTGCTGCGTGGCAAAGCACACTTCAAAGTGTTATAAGTATTTACTATTATGATGATGATGACGCTGACGATGCCGATGATTGTACATTTCGTGTAATGTCGTGGTATTGTTTGTTTGTCATGCCATCAAAGTGCAGTGTAGTTATGAAAGGAAGAATAAAAAACTGGATGGCGTTAGCGGAAGGAGTGTAATGTTGTGCACCACCCAGGTTTGTCTCATACTTTTATTAAAAAGGGACTTTTTTTGGAATTGAGTGCGTGTAAGGGTTCCATTGAAGTTGCTCCTTCAGCTTTTTTGACGACAAAAACACGCCTAATTTTTTTGTTCGTTGTTCACTTTTTTTTGGCAATTCAATTGTTTACGCACGCTTGCATATTTTTATTATTTCCATTATTAACCGCAAAATGTTGAAAAGGAACAGCACACAAGACATTTTGACTTCTGGTATATAATTAGCCATGAAAGTTTATTTTTTGACTTGATAATTTTCTTTTTGAATTTTGTGTGGTGGTCGTGGTAATAAAGAAATGTTTTTTAATGACATTGACGATGAGACATGAAATTTCAGGAACTGGTAAATGGTGACAGTGTTACGAAAAAAGGAATATTCTTAAATTTTTAAACAAGTTTAGATCTTTGAAATATTATTTCAGGTGCCTAAATAGTGCACCAAAGTCTCTATATATCCTTCGATTTGCACGAAATTTGGCATAGCGTACTGAATTAAGTCTGAACTGATGTATGTGAAATTTCGCGAAAATCGGTTCAGATTCAGTATTTTCGTCCGATTTAAGGTAAATGGGCCACCAAAGTCCCCATATATCTTTCGATTTGCACGAAATTTGGCATAGGGTACTGAATTAGGTCCAGAATGATGTGTGCTAAGTTTCGTGAATATCGGTTCAAATTTAGATAAAGCTCCCATATATATTTTCGTCCGATTTTATGTAAATGGAACACTAAATCGCTATATATCCTTCGATTTGCACGAAATTTGGCATAGGGTACTGAATTACGTCAAGAATGATGTATGCTAAGTTTCGTGAATATCGGTTCAAATTTAGATATAGCTCCCATATATATTTTCGTCTGATTTTATGTAAATTGTGCACCAAAGTCCCTATATATTCTTCGATTTTTACGAAATTTGGCATGGTGCACTAAATTAAGTCTAGAATGATGTGTGTTAAGTTCCGAGAAAATATGTTCAGATTTTGATATAGCTCCCATATATATTTTCGTCCGATTTAAGGTAAATGAGCCACCAAAGTCCCTATATATCTTTCGATTTTTATGAAATTTGGCATGGCGTACTAAAATAAGTCTAGAATGATGTGTGTTATGTTTCGTGAAAATCGGTTGAGATTTAGAAATAGCTCCCATATATATCTTCGTACGATTTTATGTAAATGGTGCACCAAAGTCCCTATATATCTTTCGATTTGTACGAAATTTGGCATAGGGTACTGAATTAGGTCCAGAATGATGTTTGCTAAGTTTCCTGAAAATCAGTTCAGATTTACATATAGCTCCCATATACATTTTCGTCCGGTTTAAGGTTAATGGGTCACCAAAGTCCCTATATATCTTTCGATTTGTACGAAATTTTGCATAGGGTACTGAATTAGGTCCAGAATGATGTATGCTAAGTTTCGAGAATATCGGGGTAGATTAAGATATAGCTCCCATATATATGTTCGTCCGATTTTATGTAAATAGTGCTCCAAAGTCCCTATATATTCTTCGATTTTTACGAAATTTGGCATGGTGTACTAAATTAAGTCTAGAATGATGTGTGTTAAGTTCCGAGAAAATCGGTTCAGATTTTGATATAGCTCCCATATATATTTTCGTCCGATTTTATGAAGGGTATCATATAGTCGGCCCAGTCCGACTTTACTACTTTCCTTACTGGTTTTAAAATATTTTTCTCAATGGCTCAACCAAGAGTGGATTATTTATAGAAATTTCTGTCATGGGCCCAACAAAAAATGGATTAAGATAATGGTCCAACAATGCGAGCATTTTTAGAGGAAACAAAATATTTTTCCAATCCTTACCACTGTGTATCTGTGTGCGTGTATATCTCCTAAATGAAGACATATTCCCAGAAATTGTTGGGTTTATTTCATTTATATCTTCATTGTGAATCCCATTTCTCCCCCTATCACCACACCCAGCTCTCCCCTTTACTTCCCATGTTAAATGGCGGCATAAGTTTTCAACTGTAGAACAGCAACAACAACAAACTTAACAACATCATCGTTAACGTTATAACGCTGACATCGTTAACGATATGTCATTTCCATACAATGCGACTGATGGCAGTTGGCTGGTCGGTTGGTTCGCTGGTGCTTTGCTGTCTGGTAGATTCATTCATTTTGATTTTGTCATGTTTTCCTTTTGCGGGATTTTTGAAAGCAATTGCATGTCAAACTGGTCGAATTCGTGGACTTACTACTCTATGTGTATGGGCAAAAAGGCATAGAGCAAGCATTACTCTTTTGACAAATGTGTGGATTCTTTGTTATCTTGACCGAGTGTGTGTGTGTTTGTATGTACATATTACGACGGCTTTGGCTTAGAGTACATGTGGCGGATGTTTTTGTCACAGCCACCAACCGACCAACCAACATTAAACGTGCTGGTGTGCTTAAACAAACACATCCAGCTGACAAAGAAGGGAGTTGTCGTTATGACAAATATGATGGATTAGCTTTGAATTGAAATCCTTAAAGGATATGAATTTGCGTGGTGGCCGGTTGAAAAGTGAACTAAATTAACGGACAAGGGATTTAAATGGAGGCGATTTAAAGGAAGGAATTGTGACATTTGGGATAGGATCTACCTTTTGTAGGAGATCGGAGCATCTCAAAATTTATTTTCAAATCCCAAAATAAAATTTAAAATATATATTTTTTTAAATATAAATTTTATTTCAAAATTGTAAAAATCCACTTACCTGAATTGTTGCCCTTGCACCACGACTGATGGCCGGCATAACACTCGTATGCAGCACACATTGTTTCTTCTGGCCATAACTCATGCCATCAACCAAATAACAATTATCAGGATTTAAATCCAATGGCTCCGAGTATGGTGGTACCGTGGGACTGGGGGTTGTTGCATTGGCAGTCATCATACCCATTTGTTCGGCATTTGGAATTACAAAATCTCTACCGCCTCCGCCTGCCGTTGCTGAAGCCATTGAATCTCGTTCTAAAAAAGCACTCGAACCGTATTTGGAGGCAAATTTATCATTACTACCCTGAGAACGGCCTTGCAGACCACCACCAATATTACGTCTCTTGTGGGTCGATCTAACAAACCTCGAGAGGATTTGTAAATTTTCCTCTGCATTACCGCCATCACCATTGGCATTTTTTGCAGCTTTCGATTCATTTAAATAGGCTTTTATCGAATCGGGAATTTCAATGGACACCGCGAAGCGCTTGGTGTTGTTAATTGTCTGGCGATAGGGTTCATAACGTGGCCAATATTTTTCCTGTTCCCGCAACAATTGCTCACGATCTCTCTGCCGTTGAAGCTCTTCACGTTTGCGTAGGCGAACACATTTGGGTGCCTCGGGATTACGGACACAGGGTGGTAATTTGGTGGGTTTTGTCGGCTTTCTTGTTGTGGTGGTAGTTGTCGTTGTAGTAGTCGTCGTTGTTGTAGTGGTGCTCGTTGTCGGTGTTGCCGGCATTCTGCGATCTTTATTTTGATCATTCAATAACAGCACTTGTGGTACAATGGCAATTTTATCCTTCGGACTATTATTCACCGGTTGCAGGAAAGCCGACAAGGACTCCTCGTCATCATCGTTGTGATAGTAACCGCCAAAGGGTGGCGAATGCGGAATTTTACTATTTATATTTATTGATGATTTTCTAGTGGGCGGTAATACTGGTGCGGAATACTGATATATTGGACGAAATGGTACTTTTGGCGACACGGTTGTTGTCGTTGTACTGGTCGTTGTTATCGGCTTACCCTGTTTATCCTTTTGCAGACTAGGAAAGACCACAAATTTCGATTGAAAATTGCTATCATGTTTGGTAAGATTTTGCAGGAACAATATATGTTTCTTGAGGTCTTCAATATTCGAGGCGAATTCCGGTGTTGCTGGTGTGGTAGGTTTTCTCGTTGTTGTTGTGGTGCTTGTCCGAACTGTGGGCGGTGACAGCGCTGAACTTCGTGCCATTGATTGTGCATAGCGCGGATCTGGTTGGGAATTTTTCAATGCCATCGGCACAATAAATTTGCGATCTTCATCTGTTAGACTGGCGGGTAAACCATTTTCATCGGTATCCTCATCGAGTAGGATAATTTGTTTTTGATCCATTTCCTCTTGGATGGGATGTAATCGCCGTTGATTTTGTGTTCTCTGCTGTGGCATCGGTGTGGCTATTTTCTTTGTAAGATTTGCTTTGACAAAACCCGTTTCGGAATCTCTGAGATCGACGGGTTTAATGAAAGTACCCAACTTCCGCAGACCCTCTTGATGCATTAACGCCTGTTCATCTTTGGTAATGTTCAAGGCTATGCTGTTGTTCGCCAACACTTCAAATTCATTGCGAAATTCAATGAATGGTGATTTGATGCCGAGGGAGCTGTGAAGGCGAAAGGAGAAAAAAATAAGAATATTAGAGGGGATATCAAATTTAAAAACTGTTAAAAAATAACTCAGGAAACCTAAAAATAAAATAGGGGTTATGCGGTTAAAAAAATATTTTTAAGGTTCAGCCATAGGCGAAGAGTTATAAAAAGTATCTTTTAGGCATCCATATAAGGCGTGGATTAAAAAAAATATATATTTTTTCAAGTTTCCACAAAAGGCGTAGATTTTTAAAAAAATATTTGTTCAAGGTTCCTTACATGTCAAGTATTTTTTTTCTTTTTTGTAGTTCCTTACAAGGCGTGATATATTTAAAAAATATTTCTTCAATGTTCTTTACAAAGTGTGGATTTAAAAAAAATATTTTTTTAAGCTTTCACACAAGGGGTTGATTTTTTTAAAAATTATTTTTTCAAGTATCAACACAAGGCGTGGATTTTTTAAATATAATTTTGAAGTATCACCACAAGGCATGGATTTTTAAAATATAATTTTCAAGTATCACCACAAGACATGGATTTTTAAAATATAATTTTCAAGTATCACCACAAGGCATGGATTTTTAAAATATAATTTTCAAGTATCACCACAAGGCATGGATTTTTAAAATATAATTTTCAAGTATCACCACAAGGCATGGATTTTTAAAATATAATTTTCAAGTATCACCACAAGGCATCCCTTTACGGCGTGGATAAAAAATATTTTTTCCTATGCGGCGAGGATTAAAAAACATAAATATTTTTTCAAACATCCATATAAGGCGTAGAATAAAAAAAAAAAACACTTATTATTTCATACATCCGAAGGGCAAAAGACAATCCTGAGCCCTTCTGTAGTCAGAAGGCCATCCACAGTAATTTTATCTTTATATGTCAGTGCTTTAACGAAAATATATATTTTTTATTGTTGTATAAAAAATAATTTTATTTATATTTTTATAGAAAAAAATTAAAAAAATAATTTAGAGAATTTTCATATACAAAAAAATTATTGTCTAGTCGTATACAAAAACAAAATCCAGTTAGGATTAATTTATGTTCCTGGAGCTGGTGCTGGAGCAGGAGCTGGTGCGGGAGCAGGAGCAGGAGCTGGTGCGGGAGCAGGAGCTGGTGCGGGAGCAGGAGCTGGTGCTGAAGCTGCTGCTGAACCATAAATCTCCACCAAACTCTTAATGCCAGAACCTCTCTGACTTGTAAAGGTAATGGTGACTTCAGTTGAACCAACACCACCACTGGCGATCACAGCTGTGGCTCCTTTGAACTTCTTTTTGTCGTTGATTTTGATGGCATTAATGGTCAAGGGAGCTGCAACACCCTATATATCACAGAATTATTATTACTATTTGTTTTAATTAAAATAAAACATCATTACAAAAACAACAACTCACCACTTGTTGATATACATAATTCTGTGTGGTAACCGTACCCAAGAAACCAGATTTAAAAACAATTTCCTTTGCCATCAATGTATCCGTGGTACCTATTTGGCCCCATTGATAGTCATTACCCTTGGCCGAACACAAGGTAATAATGGCAGCAGCAACAAAGGCAAGACACACAATTTTGACCATTTTAGGAAATTATTAACTTTAGTTGTTGTTCTTAGGGTTTGTTAAAAATATGTGATTGCTTGAGAAGCTATTGAGGAAGTGTTGGATTCTGTTGGCCCAACTTCAATATTTATAACGATTTTGAGTTGATTGTTGTTTGCCTAAGGTAAATGTAGATGACCCATTTCTTCTATTTTTTTTTTTGGTTGCAGAGCAGAAGATGTCAACAAATTTTGTAATTACACGGCATCATATCGATGATGCCAACACTTCTTGGAATATTTATCAGCCTACAAAATTTTTGGGTGGTTATTAGAAAAAAAATTTTTTTTCATAATTTATTATCTACGTTCTGTCGATATGTAATGAAATCGATAATGTCGATATGATTGAATGTTTTTTATTTGATAATGGAGATGTAATTTCTTTTGGAAAAATTTGATCATAGAATTCTCAGTTCAGTTTTGTAAATTCTGGGAAGATACAAAAACATTTTTTTTTGCAACCATCACGACGGGTTTTAAAAAAAATATTTTTTAAACATCCATATAAGAGGTGAATTTTTTTAAAAATATTTTTTTCAAGAATCCACATAAGTTGTGGATTTTAAAAAAAATATTTTTTCAAACATCCAATTATTTAAAATAGAGTAAATTAAAAAAATATTTTTTTAAACAAATTAAAAAAATTGAACATCTGCAGTATTTTTTTTCAACAAAGAAACCATAAAGTATCAAAATTTTGGTTCACCCTGTTAGCTTTCTATTGAAACTCCCACATTTATTTATTTAATTTTTTTTTCAATTTTCGAAATCTCTTTGCATAGCTAGATGAAAGTGTTTACACACTGTCCGCTCACTCTCAGCTTAAAACGTTATTGCTGTTAGTTTTGCGGTTTGTATTTTCTTTTGTTAAATAAACTGATAAAAAATCTATTAAAAACAAATAACACTCTCATTTGTTGTGGCCCTAGTTAGTATAACAAAAAAAAAAAATTATACACACACTTAGTCAGTGTTAATAGAGATTGCTGCAAAAAATGTTCGAAAATTCTCGCATACTGTTTATAGTTTTAAGTGTGGTGCTGGCATGTCATACGTTTAGCGTTGATGCAGCCAAAAATATTCAAAATTCCTCTAGTGACGGTGGTAATGGTGATAGTCATCATGTAACATTTGGTGCCCAAAGTCCCCGGGAAGTACATTTGGGACGTTACACGGCAATGGAAAGATATAAACCGGTGAAAATTGTCGAGGGTGATTTTGTTTATCGGCCAAAGGTAAGGGTATTTTTTATAATATTTTTTAATCACAATTTTATTTAATTTTATAATAATTTATATTTTTAATTTATTTTTAGCCCAATGATTTACAATATGGCCGCACCATAACCCGTATTGTAATCACCGATCAATATGACAATGGTAATGGTGGCTATGCCACACTGAAAGATGGTGGCCCGAGTACAAATTTTGCCATAATTCATTTTAAATCACAACGCAATCATGGTTATAATTTTGTTGTGGATATATATGGTATATAAAAATGTAGAAAATTCTAAAATAAATTATTGTTATTATTTTAAAATAAAATAAAAAAACAACAACGATAACAAGTCAAAAGGTTATTTAATAGTTCCAATTAAAATGTGATATTTATTGATTTGGTTTTTTGCTGTTGTTGTTGCTGTTGGTCTTTGACAAATTTATTTAAATCTAATTAACCGCAAAAACGAGAGCGAGAGAGGAAGAAAAAAAATGAGATTAAAAAAAAATAATAAAAAAAATATCCAAAGCACAATTAGGTGAGCAATATAATTTCATTTTCTCTTTTGCAAAACCACAAATTGTGTGGAGGTAAATAATTATGTGTTGAAATATATTTATGTTTCGAAATGTATTTATAAATAAAAAAATATTTATAAATAATAAATATAAAAAATTTATTTATAAATAATAAATATAAAACAATTATTTATAAATAAGAAATATATAAAATTTATTTATAAATAATATATTTTATATATATTTGGGGCCAAGGAAACACTATGTATTACCAGCTGTCATCTGACATTTCCCTCGAAATTTCTTTTAGCGTAAACACCCTCAATACGTTTTGATTTACCACCATGTCTAGTGTTAAATATTCCATATTTATTTATAAATAATACATACTCTAGCCAACTTTACATATTTCTGGCACTATTTATCATTTCTATTGAAAGTGTTCTATATTTTTAGCATTTTGACATTCGACCATGTGTTGTATTGTTTACAGAGAACCAAATTCAACAAACATAACAATTTTCACATCAAGTTCGGTAGGGCCTACCTTTTTATTCCCTCTACCTTTATATGGGATCCTACAGCTCCCATATAAAAGTTCCGAACGGTAGGGTCTAACTTTTTATACCCTATATCTGACACCTATCTGGTTTGAGTTTATTAAATCGTTGGGAACATTGCCATAACATCAGATGGTTGTAGGTTCAATCCCTGATTGAAAACTGGGGTAGGAACTTCAAAATATGGGAAATCAAACGAGACATTTGTCTAGGTTGATATTTGAAAACATTCTAATCTATTTTGACTTATTTCTGGAAAAAAAGTTTTTTATTCATTATGGCAAATGTTAGCTACTTCGATGAGGAAATTCGGTTACAAAATTAAACCACCAACCAAAAAATTGGGGGAAACTTTTTGTGGAGATCTTTATATATTTTCTCCCAAAACGTGTTTTATCCATCAATATCCCGGAAAGCCTTATTACAGATATTACAATGGGAAAATGCGGCTAAAACCTACAAAATACTGACAATGGATATCAAGCCTTATATCGAAGCTATGTAAAAAAGGACACATATTGATAATGATTCTATGTTGTAAGTGTATTATAACTTTGTGTGGCAACAGAAGTTTGTAAGGCCGCGATATATTGGTCCTAGACCCACGTTTCATTATACCGATCGTCATATCTGAGCAAGCTGAGTCGATCTAGACTAACAAAGTACAATTCCATTTAAAATTATTATGTACTCCGGGAGATTCATCTAGGCATATGTGTCCGTCCGTATGTCCATTATAAATTGTAAACACGACCCACGCCACATTTATAAACCAATCGTCACGAAATGTTGCAATTTTTTTTTTGGTCCGCTTCGGACCTTTGGAAACGTGAACGGGATGAAAATGGATAAAAAACTTTTTTGTCGATTTTCTGGTCGCTGCAGAGGCTACAATTATGACACGAACACCACAAAATTTTACATGAAGAAGGGGTTGTTTTGATGAAGATCGGTAAATATATAGAGAGTCAAATGGGCCAAGACTTTTGTTTAAAAAATGCCGTAAATCTCCACTCTGTGAAAACTGATCCGGGAAATTTTACCAGCCTAAGAAAAAGGAGCTTTTGAATTTGAATCTAATATCAATTTTATTGATTAAGGAGGTCGAATATTGGCGGTCTGTATATTTTAGTATTATCATTATCCTCTTGTATGATAATGATAATACTAAAATATATGCAAATATCGCAAAATATTTCCCATGCTCGAAATATAGATCCGCAGAATGCGAATGGCCAGTGACAATTGTGTAGTGTATCATATGGTAGAGTCTGTCTGACTGTACTGCTTAGCTCACAGGTTTATTCATATATTCAAGAACCTTCAAGAATCGAATTACATCCACATCGAAGGGAAAATGCGGTCATAACCTTAAAAAATACCATGAACGAAACCGATTTTGCTACTTTTGTTGACAGGAAGATTTGACATCCTAAAAAATCAAATTACAACCAATTCGGTTGAAAAACGTACCAAATACTTCAAAATACCGACTAGTGGTTGATACAATTATATGAGGGCTACTCGAAAACTTGGGCAAATATTAATAATTTTTGGCTTGGGTATTTTCTACTCAATGGGAATCAAAAAAACGAAAAATACAGCCATTTGGTTGGAACACATAGCCAAACTTCCCAAAATTCCGAAATTTGGGATGTAGATTTATTTGTAGATTACCCTATTTCATTTTTCTACCTAGTGGAACCAAAAATACCAAATTCTAGCCGATTCTAAAATCTTCAAAATATCGCATTTTGATGGACTGCCTTTATATAAGCATCATCCTAAAAAGGAGACCTATATCCTATATCCTCAATACCAAATATCCATAATGAAACATTCATTGCTGTGCAAATTTGCAAATCCCTTTCTTAAATATTGCGAGCAAAACATACATTTGTCCATATTAAAATTAAAAATGTCGTATTTTTAACCAAAAAAAAAAAAAAATTATATATAACATTATATATATATATATATATATTAATATTATTATATATTTATATTATTTTTTTATATTTGTATTATTATATAAAGTTTATTTATTATTTTTCTTATGAAATTCACTTTAATTACATCTGCCTGAATGAACTCATCTTCTCACACATAACTGACAAAAACTAAAGCATACATTTAGGCGTTCGATTGCATTACATTATAACAGGGTGTTTTTTTATTCCAAGAAGAAACAGAAATTATCAAAATACAAATAGTATAGTGAAAAATCCCCCTACTTCACAATACTGGAGTATCGGTTTCATTATTTACACAAGAGTGTCTCAAACCGAAACAAAAACATAATAAAAAAACTTTTTTTTTATTTTCATATTGATAAGAAACTAACTACTGACGAAGTTTTGCTGGGTGGCTGAGTAAAAAAAAAACACACAAACATGAATCACACCTGTGCCGAATGTCGAGTAGCGGGGGTGGAGAGTACCATGGAGTCAGCCCGTTAATAAGAAGACAATTGCAATAGTAGATAAAAAGACGCGCGATATATTCCAGATACTAGAGATATATAACAAATATAAGTAGCCAGATACGACAGACAACATTAAGAAGGCGAAAACAAGACATCTGTGCGGAAATAAAATTTTATTGTTGTGAATATACATTTCGAGAAAAAAATTAAATACGAAAAATGAAAAGTGTAATTTTCGCTACTTTTCTAGTAGCTTCGCTGTTGGCTACTAGTTTTGTATTGGTATCTGGTGTGAATATTACATGGGGTTACATTGGTCCTTATGATCGAATTATTGCTCGTGATTTTGTTCAGCACGAGGCGAATTGGTTTACCAAACACAAGGAAATTGTAAATTATCCACCAAAGGTAAGGAGGAGGTGTTGTGGATTTTTTCTTATACCCTACACAACTATGTTGTCAGGGTATTATAGCTTTGTGCAGTCCCAAGAATTTGTAACGACGCGAAATAATGGTCTTAGACCCACCTTTAAGTATACCGATCGTCATATCTCGACTAGCTGAGTCGATCTAGACATGTGTGTCCGTCCGGCTGTCCATTATATTTTTTTAAACAAAACGAAATTTTGCATGTAATATGAGTTCTGCCCAAGGAAGATCCCTATTGTTTTTGGTAAAGATCGGTTAATATTTAGGGGATGGAATGGACCAAATATTTCATTTTGCTGGTCGCTCCAGAGGCCGCAATTTTATATGGAGAAGGGGATCAGGCCAAAGATAAATCAGGCTAGTTGTGATAAAGATCAGTCAATATTTAGCTGATCAATTGGACCCTGACTTTTGTGTGAAAAATTACAAAATTTGTAAGATATAACAAATATTTTTGCAAAGCTCGCCACAGTTCATGCATTTTTAAAATATTGCATTTTTTAAATATTTAACATTACCACATGGCCCAAAGCTGTTTTTTTATTAAAAAATATTTTCTTTTTATAATTTATACTGTTTGCATTTCAGGGTCATCAAAGTTTCCGGCAATTGTCAGCCATACGTGTTTTGGATTTGGGTGGCAAAAAGAACTTCGGTTATGCCACACTCCTAAAGGGTGGTCCCGGCCACTTTAACAGTACCATTGAAGTGAGATCACAAGCACGGAAACCCGTCAACATGACTATTGAGTATTTCTCCCGATTTTAATGAAAAAAGTGGAAACGATTTAAAAACGAAAGCCAAATAAATAAAAAATAATTTTATTCAAAATTAAAATTCAGTATTTTTTTTTTCATTGGTAAAAATTAAGAGTAAACTTTTCGCTTCCCGATCAAACTTAAGAAAACAGAAACAAATGTGTGTTGAATTCGTTTAATTGTATTTAAAAATTATTAAATAAAAACAATGCTCTCCTAGTTGTCCCTTCTATTTGTTTATCAACTAGCTCCAGTAATTTCCATTAAATTCGAGGAGAATAAAAAAAAAACACAACAGTAAATTATGCAAATTTTTATTTACATTTTTGCGGCCCACTCACTCAGATTGCAAGGGAAATAGGTATAAAACAAAACTTCAGACATTATCAGATAATTAAAAATAAACGAACTTAAAAAAAACAACAACATTTATTTAAAATGTGTACAAACTAATATAAAACAAATGGTAGAGTTGGCAGAAAACCAGCGAATAAAAAAACAAATAATTTCAAAACAAATTGTTTAAATAAGGTGGGGTAGAGAATAATAACAACTTTTCGAATATGTTGTGAAATAAGGGCAAATAAATAGTATGAGCATTTAAAACATTTTGCGGAAATAACGTTTAGTGGATAAAACAAATACAAAATTTAAAATAAGACATTTGGGCGCCACGGTCATTACAGATGTTAAGGCGCAGTTAGACTTTACCTTCAAAAACGAGATACTAAATCTCAGCTGTTTAGATATGAAATCAGTCAGCTGATATTTGTTTACATATACATACACATTTCTAACTCTTTTTATACCCTTCACCACACTGTGGTACAGGGTATTATGTCTTTGTGCATATGTTGGTAACAGGCAAAAATAATCGCGATAGACCCATGGTTCCTTTTGAGAATATGCATAGAATCTCTTTCTGAGTCGATTTATGCATGTCCGTCCATGTATTTTTGTGAAAAGAGCACAGGTCGCATTTATAACCCGATTTGGATGAAATTTGGCACATGTCACTTAATTAGCCCGAACCCTATTGAAATTGGAGAAAATCGGTTCAGATTTAGATATAGCTCCCATATATAGTTTCGTCCGATTTGATGTAAATGGTGTACCAAAGTCCCTATATATCTTTAGAGTTGCACGAAATTTGGTATAGACTACTGAATTAGGTCTAGAATGATGTGTGTTAAGTTTCGTGAAAATCGGTTCAGATTTAGATATAGTTTCGTCCGATTTAATGTAAATGGGGTACTAAAGTCCCTATATATTTTTCGATTTGCACGAAATTTGGTATAGCCTACTGAATTATGTCTAGAATGATGTGTGCTAAGTTTCGTGGAAATCGGTTCAGATTTAGATATAGCTCCCATATATAGTTTCGCCCGATTTTATGTAAATGGTGCACCAAAGTCCCTGAAAATCATTTGATTTGCACGAGTTTTGATATAGCGTATTGAATTAAGTCTAGAATGACGTGTGCTAAGTTTCGTGAAAATCGGTTCAGATTTACATATAGCTTCCATATATAGTTTCGCCCGATTTTAGGTAAATAGGTTACCAAAGTCCCTACACATCTTTCGATTTGCACGAAATTTGGTATAGCCTATTAAATTAGGTCTACAATGATTTGTGCAAAGTTTCGTGAAAATCGGTTTAGATTTACAAATAGCTCCCATATATAGTTTTGCCCGATTTTAGATAAATGGTGAACCAAAGTCGTTGAAAATCATTCGATTTGCACGAATTTTGGCATAGCGTATTGAATTAAGTCCAGAATGATGTGTACACCTCCTATATATATTTTCGTCCGATTTTAAGTAAATTGTGCACTAAAGATCCACAGCTAGGCCGATTGACACAATGTACTGAAATTAATATAAATTAATCTCTGGCAAGTTTGCTTCAAATCGATTCAGATATAGATATATCGTAGCTTTCATATATAATTTCGACATATTTATGTTAATTGTACACAAAATAATCAATAGGTGTCTGAGTGAGATTAAATTTTAAACAGTGCAGCATACCGAATAGCGTGTCAAGTTTGCTTTAAATCGATTTACACAAATCTGTCCCACTGTGCACAAACGACTCTAAACATGCCCAAATGAAATGAAATTTAGCATAGGTTCCAGAAAGACATACAAATTACATATTTAAGTTCGTTCAATTGCCTGTCAAAATTCCTTCAAAAAGGCGACGCCTTTTCGGATACATATATAGAATAAACCCAAAGTGGTAGTCGATATAGTCGGCCAAGTCCGACTTTACTACTTTCCTTACTGGTTTTTTTATGCCAACATGTTTTTTTATGGATTTTATTCAATTTTATTTAAAAAAAAAAAATAAAATGGTGACGGTTTTTTTTCTGTTGGCTACTATTTTGATTGAATTTTGATCCGATTGAACTTATATCTCCTAAGAGAGGGAGATGTAGAGAGCACGAACTGATGGAACTATATGAACTTGTGAAACAAAGGAACGAGAAAATCTAACTGAATGATTTGAATAAAATAACAAGATGCAACAATGAACGACTGAATTGACTAGTACCGATCGTTCCATTTGCTAAATACTGAATTTCTTTGAACTAGTTCATTTCGGAACGACACAAGTTTAGCCATTATGTTGATCGTTTTATTCATATCGAAGTTATTGTGAAATTCCATATGCTAAGTAAATATAAACCAACTTAACAAGGCATCTAACAAAATTTGAATCTAGAGTTAAAAAGCTGGTGAACAATTGAACGCAGTACTAAATGGTTAAGTATTCATTAACGAAATTTCTTAACTAAGGTTCAGGGAAAATTGAAAAATGTTTTGTAGAATACTTTATAAATATGTACATTTCCATGAAATTTACTCAATTTTTTCATTATTTTTTGTTTTATTTCTTTGGAGTATTAAACCCGCCATCTGTTTACATTTTCGTTTATCTTTGAATCATTGATAACAACAGCTCATTGACAATCTGTTTCAATTGTTCCTGAACTATATGCTATTGATTTTTGAGGGCGTATTGTGATATAGCTCATTCACCTGTTTTTCGATGATTCATTTTTTTTACAAATTAAAATGACTTGAAAAGCTCTTGACATTATCGCTTAATTAAATGTTTGATGACATTTCCTAGAATTTTTGAAAATATAATTCAAAGAATTAGATATTGAAAATATTGAAGTGAGATTTGCAATGTTTGTAATTAATTATTGTTAACAAATTTTTATTTATAGATCTAAAGTGATACAATTTGAAACTTTCTAAATATTTTTTTATCTACAAATAAAGAAAAGCTTCAAGCATTTTATGCAACAAACTTGTTTGGAATTGTCTGAAACAAATCGAGCAGGGCGAGTGGGCATTCTAGTACCTTGAGCGGAACGATCTTTCTCGATCCTTTTTTGCAAAAAAGGAACTAGTTCCTTAATATAGTTACTTCGTTCCATTTAGTTCCAACTCCTAGATAGTTCATTGAGAAATTTAGATCCATATATAAAATTTCTTAAGCGGAGCGATCTTTCTCCTTCCGTTTTTTTTAATATAGGAACTAGTTCCTTTTCTCCATATAATTCCGACTCCTAAATAGTTCCTTGAATCTCACTGCAGGATGATAAGCACAATATTTTTTATATTTGTTATCTACTTTATTTTCATAAATAATGTTATTATTCACAAAAAAAGAAATGGATGAGCATATGTTTGTATAATTTTAACAATGTGGCAGGAACTAAAATCGAACGAGAACGAATGAAGAATACGAGTATAGAGCAACGAGTTCACAAAAGGAACGAGACGAGGAACTAAAGAACAAGATCTAGTTCCTATCGTTCATTTATAGTAATTGTAAATGAACGAGATCAGAAAAAGGAGCAATAGGAACTAAAGAACAGGATATAATTCCTATTGTTCCTTTATCGGAATAGTTGCAATGAAGTAGTTAGCTCCAGAACTATCCAACTCTGAAAACAAGAATATCTTTAGATATACGAGTATAGATATACAAACTAGTTCAAAGGGACGACTCACTGAAAAGGCCAAAGGAACTAGTTTAGTGCATACATTTTGTTTTAGTTACCTTGTGGAGTTTTTGCCTTTGTTATGAAAGGAATTAAAACTAGCAATAGATAGGTTGATGTTGGCTTTAAAAGTCAGCTGTTTACATATGAAATCAGTCAGCTTATATTTGTTTACATATACATACAAATATCGAACTCCACGTAGCTGGCCAATATTTCCATAATTCTAATAGGAATTCCTCTCTGTTTACATATGAAATTTTTTTGTCAGAACTGATATTGTTTTTTATACATTATCAAATTTGTCAAGAACTCCACGTAGCTGGCCAATATCGGCATGCAGTGTTGCCAACCTTAGGAAGTGTTGTTGGAGGTGTTTTACTACTGCAACATTCTTTTCTTCACGATATCGAATAATTAGTAAAATAAGGAGATTTTTGCCGTGACTTATTTATAGGTACACGACTATAGAACTTGTTGATAGAACTTTTTTGTTGTTCATTTTAACAAATTATTTATTTTGTAAACAATTTTGATCTTCATTTTCAGATTCACATAAATTTTAGCAGATATCTGTTTCTGGTTGTTATTTGTACTGTTCACAGTATTTAACAAATTATATTTGTATTATTTATGTTCAAGTGATATTAATCTATATAAATGTATAGTGTTTTGAAAGGACAGACGGGCATATGTTCCATATGCAGTATTTTAACCATTTGAATATATCAAACTCTGAAAGCGAGCATTTCTTTATATATACGAGTATAAACATTTAAATTTGTTCAATGAAATGATTCACTGAAAAGACAGATAGGAACTAGTTTTTTTTTCCTTTGTTATGAAAGGAATTGAAATTAGGGATAGCTAGGTCGATTTCGGGTTTTAAAGTCGAAGTGATATTAATCTATATAAAAATGTTGTGATTTGAAAAGACAGACGGACATATGTTCCATATGCAGTATTTTATCCATTCGAGATCAGAGGATTGTTTATATAACCTAAAAGTATGCTTTTTATAACCTAAAAGTATGCTTTATATTATCAATATCAATATTATAATTATATTGATAATTCATTATTCTAATATGCCATTATATCACACATAAACTATAATTAATTGATTAATTATTATGTCATTATGGCAAAGAATAATATGTAATTAACCCCAGGCACCGAACTCCTCCCTTTCCTATCATCCTTATAATAACCGATATTCAATACATGTGATATAAATATGCTGGTATATATACCGTAATACTAATGTTTTATCAATAAAACTAAAAATAAAACAATAGTTTAGAATGTGAGTTTTTTTCATACAAATTTATTATACAAATATTATGTTGTTGTTCTTTTTTTCTATTTTATTATATTGTTCTCTTCGTGTGTGTGTGTTTGGGTTAATTAAAAGTAGCAGTTAGAGTAGTAGTTGTAGTAGTACATAATAATTATTGTAGTTTTGTATGCTGTTATTATTTATTTGTTGTTCTTCTTTTTTTTTTTTGTTTTAATTTAAATTTAATTTATAAATAAAATTTTATTGAGTATATATTTATAGGCGTTTTTTGTATATGTAAATATAGTTAAAGTATGTATATTATTTGCCATAAATTTCTACACGAAATATTATACCATAATTATATTGTGATTGCAATTTAATATTAACAAAATTAAAACCAGGTCCACCAGAATATATGGTTGCATGTCCACCGGTACCATTGGTCACCTGATCGAATGCCCGTATGCCAGTTATAATGCGGCCATTGCCAATGCCCTTTAGTGGGAGAAAGATGATAATTATTATTACAATTATTTTTTTCGTTATTAGGAATAAAATATCAATTTTTCCCGGAAAGTTTGCCGCATCATACATTGAAAAAGATCTAGATTTGTGTTGAATGATTTATATTAATATTCATAATAGATCATAGCCAAATGAATGCATTTGTTTATCATTTTAATTATATGTCTTGATTTGTCAATAGCATAAACGACCTTCACGAGACTAGACACACTCGATAGCGCTTGTGATAAAGTCAATATTTTCAAAACACAAGAGTATCCATGGATCACTCTCTGAAATTTGCAAGATATTCTATAAAATATTAAAAAATCGATTTTATTTAATTTATTCTTTTGCAACAACTATACTGTGAGGGTCTTGGTTCTAGGCATGTTTTTCCATGCGATATGGTTATGGGTCCAAGGTGACCGATTCGCAAAAATGTGAATGTTTTGATTTAACACAAACCAATCTATTTCTGGTATGTACATGGTCTTATGCAATTTTTTCAGAGGAAATGGCCGTAATTTGAAATTCCAGGTAGGTGATGGATAAAAAACCTCATATCCTTCGTATAAGGTTCGGAGTTTTCCAACCAAAGTGGATAATTAAACGTTTCCGGTTCTTTGAAGGTAAAAAACTTCTTCGCAAAAAATACCAATATATCATAGACTCCATATAAATTTTCCACCTCTATGTATTTTATTCCAGATATTTGGAAATAAAAATTCTTCACCCAAATTGTTTTAGTTAGGTAGATTGTCCTTGCCTTCCATGGGTCTGTACGTGTTTTCGGAGCATAAAATAATTCTTGGCAAAAACGTGTCAATATAGGACCATGTTTTGACTTTTTGGTATTTTAATAGAGAAGGGATTGTAATTTGGGATTCTGTGTTCTTGGTGGGCAAAATAATGTCTTTGTAGAAAATTGTCTATACTATCCAATATCTTAATAAAGTCTCCCATACAAATTATCTGTTTTATTTTAGGTCGCATTTTAAAACCGAAGGGGCTGTAATTTAGTACATCTTTTTCTGATAGAATAGGTCTTGGCAACACAACACAGATCCTATCCATCATAGGTATTTAAATGGTCCTAGGACCATAAGATGATAAGAAACCTGCTAGCAGATAATTTACCCTATAATAAATATTTTCCTCAATAGATTTTTCAAAACAAAGGGTCTTTAATTTAAAGTCCTGGATTTCATCAGAGATCATTTTAAATACAGGTCCATGTTTTGAAATATATTCCACACCTACGGTATAGCTTGCCGCTTGTCGAAATATTTTCATAATAGGCCAATGTTATAATCTACATATAAAAGGCCCGAACTCATTCCCGATAAGCGAGATTTCGATCTCGCTTTTCATATTTATTTTTTAATTCGAATCTCTTGCAGAAAATAAGAATTTTTTAATTTAAAGAAACAGCAAGAAATTAAAAAACATATCTCATTTTCCGATAAGAATTCAAATACATGAACGAAAATTTACAGGGGAAGTGTAGAAAAAAACTCAATATATTTTATTAAAAAAGAGTTCAACTAAAACAAGTGAAAAAGCGGTAAGTTCTGCCGGGCCGAATTATGGATACCCTCCACCATAGATATATTGATAGGTACTAGAAATGAAAATATAAGGAACATACCAAAAAGTGGACCTATACCGACATTTCTAAAAACGGATTATGTAAACCATAATACAAATTTTAGAAATTTTTAAAGGATAATTATACCCTCAGCCTTATGGCTAATGAGGGTGTATACACTTTAACACGGTGAAAATGTGCCTCATCGAAATATTGGTTCTAGACCCCATGAATCTTTGGGCCAAATCCGTTTCAGAAATTTTAGAAATACCAAATTGCAGCAAATTCGGTTTAAAAACGCGCTCAAGAACCCCAAAATACCGAAAATTGGGGGTACCCTTAAATGGGGGTATCCGAAAAAATTGACCTATATTCATAATTTTTTGTGGAGAGATTTGGAACCTATTAAGAACCCAATGTACCAAATTTCAGCGTATTCGGTTGAAAAACGCGCTCAAGAACCCCAAAATACCGAAAATTGGGGGGTACTGTTATGTGAGAGTTATACCTAAACGTGGACCGATATATCCCATCTTCGAACTTGACCAGCCTGCATACATTTGCGTAGAAATAAATACAATAAAATAACAAAAATAAAAATTATAATAAAAATGTGAGAATAAAATATATCTGCCAAAATTCTTGCTCCAAAATTAATAATTTCACCATTCTCATATAAAAATATATACAAGTTCATACATGACCCACTGTCTATCGTAAAACTATAAAATCGGAATTTTTGTTTTTGCAATTTCAAATCATTTCAATTTCATTCAACATTAGTATGATGCAAAAAAGAAAAGTAGTCTAATGCGAAATGAAATGTCGGATGTGATCGCAACCACTTTCATCATTCAAGCGTATATTCCTTACGCTTATCAATTACGAAGCACATATATGTATGTATGTGTGTGTGTGTGCATATACAATCAACATTATCGTAATATAGTATAGCTGGCGTATAATCCCAGATTTTTGTTTTTGTGGACATAAAACGTTTGACGACAAGAAAAAAAACACACACACATTTTCAAGATTTCCGGTAATGTGAACAAAACGCAATTTCGCGAATAGACAGACGAACACATATATGCACCATGAGAAAACTTTGAGTGTGTGTTAAATTTAAACCAACTGACTAGGACTAATACATATAAAGGGCACTTGTGATAGAAGGTATGGCAATATTCGATAATTTGAGTTGGAATTAATCATGCACGCTAATATCGATCGTACACAAATAATATGATATTAAATAAAAATTACAGTAAATTTTCAAAAAAAATTTACATTGGGGGAGCGATTGAGAAAATTACAGAGCGGTTTGTGTTGGGAATTTCCAGTTGTGTGTAAAAAAAAATGTTATAGAGAAGAAGATCTACTACCAACAAATGTTTATATTCATGAATTTTTTTCTTAAAATTTCTTTCACATTGAATTAAATGTTAGATGTTAATCCATGCTCAGACCGAATGATAACATATAAAAAAATATAAAAAAGTGTTCGATCATGATCTAGAACAACATGAACATATCATGTGTTGATAGCAACCACAACAAGTTGGATGTTGGTTTAGTATACTTAATACTGAAAAATGTTTAATTATTTTTTCTTTTGTCTTATTTAATTATTTTCTAGCATAAACAGAAATCGAGAGAATACCCCCACACTTGAATGAATGTAAAACAATAATAACAAAACAAATCCTAGTAAAAGAAATAGAAAGCAACCTTGAGTAAAAAAAAAAACAGCAACAACAACAAGATTTGTTGTTTATTTGTTTTATTAAAGAAACAAAAACAAACAAATAATAACATTTCACTGAATTATATTATTTTGCCGATAAGGTTTACTCAGAATTCGAGATTATTTTCCCCACCATTTCACCGAGTAAAGGAATTGGGGGAAAATAATAAATAAATATAAAAAACGAAATAGCAAAGAACAGTCAAAATCAAGAATAATAACAAAAACAAAATTTCATAGATATTTAAACGGCATTCGAGAGAAGAGACTCTTTCTCCCGCATATATACACGATCAAATGATAAGGTGGGACACAATTGTAGGAAAATTTTGAGTGTTGCCAGACTGAACGGTAAAATCGCGGGAAATGCAAAAAATGAAATTAAATTAAATTTAATGAGCTTATTAATGCTTCCAATCAGGGGCACCAGTTCCGATATATTAGCAGCTATACTTTAAGCCCATTTCAAAAGCGATTTTAGAACTCTATTTGAATTTATTTAAAATCTACCAGATCAGATCAGATTAAATTTTCTAAAGAATGTCTTTTGAAGATTTACGAACTTATTATATTTTTTTTTCAGTTTAAACGTTAAACGTGATGGATTTGCCAGGTCAAAAAAATATTTCTTCTGCACTCGATTTTTAGGTATCAAATCCAAAAAAAGTAAATTTTTAACGAATATATAATGAACATTTTTAAATTATTATTATTTATTTATTTTTTTTTTTTGAAAATTCTTATCATAATCTACGCAGAAGGTCTTAAGAATATTTTTTAAGGATTTTTAAAGAATATTTGTTGAAAGTTGGAATTATTCATAAATTTGTGGATTTTTAGAAATATTTGTATATATTTTGTCCAGAATATTTTTTGAAAATCTACCAAAACAATAAAGATATACCATGGATTTCTTGAAAATATTTCTTGGAACTTGAAATTAAAAAAAAATAGTTAGGGTATGTTAAGGCTATTTCTAAGGAACATGGGCATAGAAATTGTAGGATAACAAAATAAACTGATGCCTATCTCATTATAATTCTGATTTATGTTCTGACTAATAATAGATGACTCAGTCGGTGTTGCCGGCCGATATATACCCTCAACCTATGGTTTGGGGAGGTCTTCGGAAATACACACAGGTTTTATTATTCGCTATATATTTATATATTAATTGTGTTTATCAAAGAGGTTTAAGATTTAAGGAACCCCCTCCCCCTATTCTCCATTTTAATTTTTCAAGATTTTCAATGGGCTGGTAAACCAATACCAATGCTTGATAAGGTTTGTAACTTTGCACATATGTATTTGAAGATTTAAAAGAGAATAAAAATAATTTACAAAAAAATTGTGTAATTGTTTTGTTGTTGTTTTTGTAATTAAAGAGAAGACCTTATTTTTGATGGCGGGCATGACAACTCTTCACTGGAACATCGGAATCCAAAAATTCCAACGATGTTAGAAAAAGTACATGTCTGGCTCTCATATGAACTAGGATTATTGACTTCACTCTAAAATTAATAAAATAGCGGACCTTTGAAAAAATATTTTTGGAAAATCGCCGATTTTTCATCAAAAACCAAGTTAAAAAATAGGGAACATATTCACAGATTAGCTTTATCCTAGTTCGTACGATAACAGTACACTCACAGAGAAACGTGTAAAAATTTGAAATCGATTGGGTTATTAGTTTTTGAATTATCGTGAAAAACGCGTTTAAAGTTTGAGAAGCCCTTTAGATATAGATTTATTGCTGACACAATAAATCGGCTATATCTTCAAGACTTCTTGAGATTTTCACTTGGAATTTTGTAGGGACATTTTTGAACTAGTATATATTCGAATTTTGACCCAGAGAATGGGGGGGGTCTCCTTAATATTGATCAATTTGCTTGAATCTATTAGATTTTACAATTTTATAAAATATTACCCCTTTTTGGGGGAGCACTTAATGTTGTAGGCTTTGTAAATATAATAGAATCGCCAAATATTGAATTTATAAATATTAAAAATTTTGGTAACTTGAACTAAGTTTCGACGAAATATTAAGATATGCAAAGATTGGATTAAATCGATTACTTAATTATCGTGTACACCAGCCTGGAAGGACGGGCATTTGTAAACCGACTTCAAATTTTCTAAAACGGATTGTTGTTCATAGAAGCATGGGGCCTAAAACCAATATTTCGATGAGGCACATTTTCACCGTATCGAAATGTATATAGCCTTATTAGGCTAAATTCTGATGACGGGCATTTGTAAACCGACTTCAAATTTTCTGAAACGGATTTTGTCCAAAGAAGCATGGGGTCTAAAACCAATATTTCGATGAGGCACATTTTCACGGTATCGAATTGTATATAGCCTCATTATGCTAAATTCGGAGGGTTTTAAAAATGGAGTATGATTCCGCGCCTCGCCGAATACTTTGAGGAATCGGAATTACAAATTACAGTAATACCGAAAATCGGTTGATATTTTTATGTGGAGGCAAGCTATGAGGAATTTTTTTAGATTCCCAGAACTTCAAATGAAGAATTACAGCTATGACGGTTGGACAATTCTGCTAAATATGCATGGTAAAAACAATTAAATATGGACCTAAAACTCTTTAAATATCAAAAAAAGGGAGTATGATTCCGTCGCGCCGAATCTTTTGAAGAACCGAAATTACAAATTACAGTAATACCGAAAATCGGTTGAGATTTTTATATGGAGGGAAGCAATGAGGAAGTTTTTTAGATTCCCCGAACTTCAAATGAAGAATTACAGCTATGACGGCTGGACAATTCTGCTAAATATGCTTGGTATAAACAATTAAATATGGACCTAAAGCTATTTAACTATCAAATTTAAACAAGTTGATATATTACACTCTGAACACCTTAATTCCAAAAAAAGAAAAATAAAGAGGACGATTTTTATTTTAAAATATAAACTTTAATTTTTGGAAAGCATGATGGTCAATATATCCCATTTTCAATATCATATATCGATCACATGGCTAAATCGATATTGAATTTCAATCTGAATGACAATCCTTATCTTTACTCAATTTTATTATAAAGGATTAAAAAAAAATAATTCAAACGCCTTAGACCGAATTTAAGAAAACAAATATTTTTAATTCTGAATTTTTCAGTTGTAAAATTTTAATAAGGTGGTTTCTTCTTCACTATTTGCTATCAATAATATTTCAAAATTCAGTTCACCTCTGACGCCAATCCATGGTCTAAAATAGCTGAAGCTTGAACAGATATCCGAATTATGAATATTAAATATGAAATATTTTTCCTAAATATTATGTTATTATAATATTCTAATGGCGTGCTTGGATTAAATTTCGAGACTATTAAAAAAATAAATAAATCTATATCTCTATATTTGTCTAGTAATTTTTCGATGAGGTCATATCAACATATCATTAAAATAAGTATGGCATCAAACACAATGCTGATATTATGTGTTCGTTTTGCACTTTCTTCACTTGTTATCAACATTATTATCTTTTTCTTTCTTTGTATTCCTTCAATGTATGATGTTGGCAACATATTCCGATGAAAAGAAATTAAATAAACTATCGATAATTTCTTACATTTTTGGGATATTTAATTTCATGTGTCACATATTTTCCCGGCGATGAGGCATTGAATACTTGTTCGGCATGCAGCAGTTGGGCAGAATTGGAAATATTACCCCAGGTACTGGAAACGGCATATGTGGTCGCCAGCAGACACACCAGCACAGTTAGTACAATATATTTTAAATTTGACATGATGTTTATTATTAATATAATTTATATTTTAGGTACGATTTTAGTAATCCTTTTTCGTGGTTTCTTTTTAATTTAAAAGATTAAAAACTTTTCAATTTTTCCTTAAATAAAACTCTTTATTTTCTTGTTCTTCCTTATTTCTATTATTTTATTTTTTTTCTTCTTAAATGTTTCACTTTTTGTGGTAATCCGTTTGAAATTTCTTTCAGAGTTTGTTATTACAAATGCAAAATTAAACCGTTTTCTAGCACCCAAATTTTAAAACTAATTTCAATTTCCGTTTTATTTCTCCGTTGTCTGGAGTGGTGGCTTAGCTTAATAGTGGCTCTATATACACACAGGGAGAGAGTCTGGGACCCAATGAAGCCGCTCTCTCTTTTGTTTTTTGCCTTATTTTTTTTTTTTGTGACAGAATTCGGTTTCTGATTATTTATGACATGAATCCGGCCAGCATCTTGTGTATTTTTTTCTATATTGGGTCCAGCCAGTGACTCTCTTTTCGCGTAGCTGAGCTACGCTGTCATATTCTTCTTATCAGTTCTTGTGTGTGTGTTTTTTTTCAGTGAATTTATACGCCTCCGTTTTTTTCATTTTTGAGCAAAATAAAACAAAAGCAACAAAATATATGTATGGGAAATCAAGTCATGAAAATGTTTTTGAACTTATGTCCACCAAAAAAGTGTACATATTCCACATACATAATATTCAAATATATGTATTTAAAACATAAAGATTCGATTCGGGACTATGCCATGGCAAACATTTGATAGGGGCCAGCCAACATGTGCTGTGGCTGCTGGTGGTGCTGGTGTTGGCTTGGCTTCGACGATGTCGTTGTGACTTACAATCTTGTGATTATGATGCGTCATTTTTACACTTACTAAAAATAAGCTTTGTTCCAGCCTCCTCGTCCCCGGCAGTATCGCTACTTTTACCTTAGTTTTTCTTTTTTATTTTTGATTTTATAAAAATATACAATTTTATGAAATCATAATTCCGTATTCTTAAAATAAACATTAGATGATAATTTCATTTAGCATGTATGTTAAAGGTCAAAACTGATTTGGAATTATTTCATGAAACATAGATTTGAAATCGAAATATTAAGTGATTTGAAAAAATCAGTGTGTTCAAATGATGTTAGAAAAAATTAGGACGGTGAAGGAGAGAAGGAATGGGAAAAATAAAAAAAGAACGAATTTGGACTTAGGGACAAAAAAATATAGGGTGATTTTTTAACAAGCTTTAAAAAAGATTTTCCAAAATTATTCATTTTTTTAATAAAAGAATAAAATTCAGAAAAAAATCTGAGGTATTTGTCTCAATAAAAAATCGACTCAGTTTCTTAGGTTTTTTTTTGTATAGAAAATAAATTTCGAACTCATTTTCTGATCTATTTTATCTACATCAGTTTCTAAAGTATTTTTATATAGAAAAAAATTCACAACCTCAGTTTCTGAGGTATTTTTTCTATAGAAAAAAATTCACAACGTCAGTTTCTGAGGTATTTTTTTAATTCTTAAGAAAAAAATTCACAACCTCAGTTTCTGAGGTATTTTTTTTCTATAGAAAAAAAATTCACAACCTCAGTTTCTGAGGTATTTTTTCTATAGAAAAAAAAATCACAACCTCAGTTACGGAAGTATTTTTTCTATAGAAAAAAATTCACAACCTCAGTGTCTGAGGTATTTTTTTTCTATAGAAAAAAATTCGCGACGACCTCAGGAGTCATATTTTTTTCTATAGAAAAAAATTCGCGACGACCTCAGGAGTCATATTTTTTTCTATAGAAAAAAATTCGACCTTCGTTTCTGAGGTATTTTTTTTATTTCTATTTCTAAAAAAAATCTCAGTCGACCTCAGTTAATGAGTATTATTTTCTATAGATATTTTCTATATTTTATTTCAGTTAATATATTTTTTTACATAGAAAAAAATCTTCAATTTCTTTTTCAGTAATACCTCGACCTTAGTTAATGAGGTATTTTTTCTATAGAAAAAAATCTTCAGAACTCACTTCTGATATATTTTTTTCTATAGAAAAAAATTGAATGTAATTATTGATATAGAAATTAAATCTGTTTTTTAAGTATTTTTTAGAGAAAAGTGCAACTAAAATTTCTGAATTGTTTTTTCTATATAGAAAAACAAATCTGAAGTATTTTTTCCATAAAAAGTTTTTTATAATATAGATTGATTTTTTCCTGTAGAAAAAATCTCAGAATTGAGGCAAATTTACTTTTTCTCTAAAAAAAAACTCTCATCGTCATTTAGTTGTTATAATGGTCCTATGTCGACAATACTCATACCCATCCGCAATTTTCACAATAATAATAGTCACATTACCCATATTTATACTAAGAATTTCCAGCACCATAATTTTAAAAAAAAAATCCAAACTATGAATAGTTGTATATTCCCCAAACCACAAAATGATAAAAATTAAAATTCACGTTAATGCTTGATTGTTATAAAAGGAGGCTTTTTATTAATTATTACAATAAGTAGTTGCTTGGCATTCCCAAAGAACACATTCAAGGATCTAAGGATATTAAGAAAAAAATGTTGAAATTAATTCTTATATCAATATTTTTGGCCACTGTGCTATGCGATTTTGAGGCAGACGATGACGTATGGGGTGATATAAATTTAGGTGATAAGCTACTCTTTGATAAGAGAATATCTACGTCGAAAAGAAATCAACATTTCATAATTGGCTACCAGGTAAATATTGTGTGGAATAAAAGGAAACAAGAGATTTCTAATTTCCACAAAAAATAATAATAATAATTATTTCCTCTCTATATTTTAGAACAATCTCCATAAGACCAATATTTCATCAATTATTGTAAGAAATTTTAATTCCAACGAGAACACTATTGTTGCTATATTAAATGGCGGAATTGGTGATAATAAAGCTAAAATTTCTGTATTTGGTGAAGAGGGTGTAAATGTACGCCTAATGATATTTGGCAAAGAAAATTGAATAAAATGTAACTTAATAAGCTAAATAAAATGCGGAACTATATAAAAAATGTTTTTTTATTTATAAACCAGTGAAGAAAGTAGTAAAGTCGGACGGGGCCGACTTTATGATACTCTTCACCACTTTGGGTATATTCACAGATGCTTCCTAACAGACGTCGCATTTTTGAAGGACCATTAACATGAAAATGGATTACTACAAAACTTGATACACGGTAGCCTATACTAATTTCAGTACATTGTAGCAGACGGCCTACCTTTGGGTCTTAGCTACACCTTTTACTAAAAATCGGACGAAAATATATATGGAAGCTATATCTAAATCTGGACCGATTTTCAGAAAACTTAAGACACATCATTCTAGGCCTAATTCAGTACGCCGTGCCAAATTTCGTGCTAATCTAAAGATATATAGGGACTTTGGTACACCATTTACATTAAATCGGACGAAAAGATATATGGGAGCTATATCTAAATCTGAATCGATTTTCTAGAAACTTAGCACCCAAATCAGTACTCGATGCCAAAATTCCTGCAAATCAAAAGATATATAGGGGCTTTGTTGCACCATTTACATAATATCGGACGAAAATATATATATGGGAGCTATATCTAAATCTGAACCGATTTTATTGAAACTTAGCACACATTATTCTACACTCAATTCAGTACCCTATGCAAAATTTGGTGCAAATCGACGGATATATAGGGATTTTGGAGCACCACTTACCTAAAATCGAACGAAAATATATCTAAATCTGAACCGATTTTCACGAAACTTAGCACACATCATTCTAGGCTTAGTTTAGTACTCTGTACTAAATTTTGTGCAAATCGAAAGATATATAGGGACTTTTGTACACAATTTACATTAAATCGGACGAAAATATATATGGGAGCTATATCTAAATCTGGACCGATTTTTCCCAATTTCAATAGGGTTCGTCCTTGGACCAAATAAGTGACCTATGCCAATTTTCATCCAATTCGGATCATAAATGCGACCTGTACTTTGTTTACAATTTAACATGGACAGACAGACGGACGGACGGACATGCATAAATCGACTTAAAAAGTGATTCTATGCATATTCTCAAAAGGAACCATGTGTATATCTCGTTTTCTTTTGCCTGTTACAAACATATGCACAAAGACATAGTACCCTGTACCACAGTGTGGTGAAGGGTATAAAAATTCACCTCAGTGTGAACAGAGATGGTGATTTTTCCTTGTAGAATAAAAACTGATCTTGTGAATATGTTTTCTATAGAACATAATTTACATCTCAGTGTGAACATTAGTTTTGATTTTTATCCATAAAAATACCATTTGTTAACTTATATTTAAATATTTTATTGCGAATCAATTTTTAATGTTTTATTTATTTAAAAGAAATTAATAAAAAGTGTTGTTTCTATCCATAAATTAAAACAGTGGCATTAAAACCATTGCCTCTAAATCCAATCAATTTCACGGTGGCAAAGACACGACCAGATCCTCCACTCTTTAACATTGGCACAACTCCGGTTAAATTTCGAAAGTTGTCGACAACAATTACCGCTGATATCTTACGACTATTTGAAGCAAACTAAAGGAAAAAACATATTTTTTTGAAGAATTTTTAATTTTTTTAAGTAAAAATAAAAATCTTACCCCAGTAGGAAATCTAATTAATGCATTCGAAATTTTACCAGGTTTTGGTTTCACAACAACATTTTGACGAAACAAAAGTGGAGCATTGGGCAGACGTTGGCCCCAAATTTGTGAATGACAATAAGACAAAGTGACACATGCCAATAACAGAGCCACAGTAAAAATAAGAACTTTCATTTTTACGATGAAAAAATTCTCTTCAAGTTATGAAGTGCAATGGTTCGTTATTGAAATATAAACTGCAAATGTTTGAAATAAAAAAATGCAAAACTGCATTTTATATAAATGAACTTATACAATAATTATAGCCCTGTTAACCACATTTCTATTAAGGGTTAATCTGATAAAGAAATTATAAATTATAATAAAAATAAATCACCATAATATAAACAAGAAACAAATTCTAACCACAAAAAATATATTTTTATGAAAATAAAACTGAAATAATGTATTTATTCGTAATCGATTTGCTATAAAAGCTGATCGTTATTAATTATTGAATTGATTAGTTGTTCGGAATTGAATTAGGACGAGACGTTTTACAATGTTATCCATTTTGAAAGTACTTTTCATATGTGGCTTAATAACCACTGTGCTGTGCATCTCTATGTCAAGTGATAGCATGTGGGGTACTCGTGAACCAGGAGATAAAATGATTTTCGATCGGAATATAACATTGCCGAAGAAGATAGCCCGCTATCAGGATACAAAAATTAATTATGATGTAAGTACTGTGGTGAGACCAAAAAAAAAGATTTTTTAATTTATTTTTTCTTTTTTGTATAAAAAAACTTGAGAAAATTCAAATCAAAAATATTTGTATATTTTTTTCAAAAATATTTATATAATTTTTTAATTATATATATTTTTTCTATAAAAAATTATGTTTTCTGTAAAATATATTTATTTTTTATTGAATATTGTTCGTATTATTTCAGCCCTGGTTTATTAAGCCCACCATAACGGCAATTGTTTTGAAGAATTTCAATCCCAAAGAACAACCCATTTTGCAGATACTGAAGGGTGGCATTGGCGACAAAAAGGCAGAAATATATTTGGCTACCCAAAAATCGGAGGGTATGCGAGTGCGTCTAATGATTTTTGGCAAGAAAATTGAATGAAAGTATAGAATAAATATGAATGTTAAATAAATTATGAGTATAAAGAAACGCAACAACAACAAATTATTGTGGAGGAAAAAAGTCGTTGCTAGAGGTTGAGGTCCATTTTTATACCCACATCTATGTTACCTTACCTTACCCTTCTTATAGCTTTTTGTTGTCCTAAGAGGTTGTAAAGCGAAATGTTGGTCTAGACCCACCCACCTTTTACTATACGATCGTCATACTCCGACTAGCTGAGTCGATCTAGCTATAGCTGCCACCACAGTTATGGACCACCACGAAACTTTGCATGTAAATCCGATACCGACCAAAGAAGACCCCTATTGCTTATAGTAATGTTCGGATAATATTTATGGGATAAAATGAACCAACAACTAGAGTGCGGAAATGTCGCAAAGACCACATTGAAATCTTACACGATGTTCCGTTTATGTTCAAGGATACCTCCAATAATTTTCGGTGATGATCAGATGATACTTAGGAGATGAAGTGGTCCAAAAAATTTATTTTTGTCCGGTTTTCTAGTCGCTCCAAAGGTCATTATTATAAGTCAACCATCACAAATGTTACACGGGGATGGGGTCAGGGCCAATTATCAAGATTGACTCTTTTGTTTGGTCAACATTTATCGGATCAAATGAACCAAGACTTTGGTGTGAAAATTTTCAACATTTTCAGCTAATGGCAATAAATTTTCACTCCGGGAAAACACGATTCGGAAAATATGACAGGCTAAGAAAAATGAGCTGTTGAAGTTTAATCGGTTACGAGGGTGCAATAATCGCGAAATATTGTCCTGGCTGGGATTATAGGTCCGTCGGCTCTGCTTGCTATTTTTTTATAGAATATAACACACCCAGATTAAAGTGCCCGTTTTTTTTTAAAAAAAAAGGTCAAGACCTCAGTTCACTGGCATTTTAATATCCTCCCCCATAAGATGGAGTGTATATTAAATGTGTCAAGACCTTTTTTGACCCCATATATAAACAAAAATTGAATATTTTTAAAAAAAAATGAAATAGAAATTGATAATGGGAACAAATAGGTTCATCGTTTTGGTAGAGCCTTTCATATAATGACATCGCTACTTTATCGATATTTCAAAGGATATAGACGCATTTTTCCAATCGAAGAGCTTTGTAGAGTGGTTCGTGGTGGACGAAAGATATCATGATAAAAAAGTTAAATACAGATCCATGTATTCACACATTTTTCATATGAATGTGCCGTATGTTTATTGTTTTAGGTCCTATTTTCGCTTCTATTGGCAGCAATTAGAAATCCCAACATAAAGGTCCCAACCGATTTTGGGTATCTCGAATGTCCACATCAGAGGCAGAGGATATCATTTATATATTTATGCATGTCCGCCCGTTAAATAGTAAACATAGTATACGTCGCTTTTGTAATCCGAATTGGATGAAATTTGATAAGGCTCATTTATTTGGATCAAGGACGAACCATATTAAAATAGGGAAAAATCGGTTCAGATTTAGATATAGCTGCCATATATATATTTTCGTCCAATTTAATGTAAACGGGGCACCAAAGTCTCTAAATATCTTTCGATTTGCTCGAAATTTGGCATAGCGTAATGAATTAGGATTTAGATTTAGATATAGCTCCCATATATATATATATATATCGAGTTCGCTATAAATCGATTTACACAAATTCGTCCCACTGTATGCAAACGACTCTAAATCTGCAGGAATTAAATAAAATTTAGCTTAGGTTGCAGAAAGGCAACCTAAGGCAGAAAGGATTGATGTTAGTTTCCTTCCTTATATTCCTTAATTTCCCACGAAGAAGCATTGTCATGTAATTGTTAGGATGCATATGTAGAATACACACAAAGTGGTGAAGGGTATCATATAGTCGACCCACTCCGACTTTACTACTTTCCTTATTGTTTTTATATATAAAATGTCGTAGGTAACACGATTGACGTTGTATTACTCGATGTTTGTTAACACATAAATGCGGGAACACATTCATTATTATATTTACCATTTCAGCCTAAATGTAGGCAATGGAAAATATTTTTCAACAGTGTAGGACGGATTTTTGTTTTAAATTAAAAATATTATATTGAAATATTTCTTAAGTAGCAATATTATATTATACCAGGAAAAAAATATTGTTGGTTATTAATTTTGCAAAATTACTAAGCTGTCGAAAAATGTTTTTTAAAAAAAACCTTTTGTCGATAAAATATTGGCATTGCACTGTTATTCCACGAACAAAAAATCCCTTTAATTATTTACACTTTTCTTCAAATTCTTATCAGAGTCTGTGTTTCTTAATTATGGCTATTGAAAGTGATTCATATTTGGTTTGATATTATTAAATTCTATGGAAATTCTTATGCAATTAAAAACATATGACGTGATAATTGTCTGTCCTGTCTAGCTTCATGTGTGTAAATAAATAGTGAAGAGCAGGGTGTTATCTACAAATAAACAAATATTAATAATAATAAGTAACAATTGTTTGTGACACTTATTAAAATATTGTCAACAACAACAAAAACTAGACAAAAATGATAATAGGTGTGTTCCCAATGATGAACTGTAGAAATATTACAAAGGAAGTTGGGAAATATTGAAGGTGATTACTGCAGTGTTGCTAAAGGGTATTGGAAAGGAAAAAGTAATCTGGAATACCATTAATGAAAAAAATCGGAGTGAGTTTTTTTTCTATAAGAAAAATCAGCCTCTTGGTCTGAGGTTTTTTTACCAGGGTGAGCAAAAATTCGTTCGCGAAGGATTCAAAATACATTATTTTCCTTTTGTGCTCATCGCACACATATAACAAACGAGTGTGAGCACACAACAACGTTCGTTCGTTTCGTTTCGTGGTTGAACTTCTTTCCTACATTCTCTCACGAATGAAAACAAACATTCCCGAATTCTCGCGAATGCTCAAAACGGCAACAACAAACGTTCGTGAACACAATATTTGTTGGACATGTGTTTTGTTATTCCACACACTTTCTCTTTACGTTTTTATGATATTTTTGTTTGTTGTGGTTTTTAGCAGAGCTCGCGTGCATTCGCGAACATTTGTTTTTGAGTTTTTCAAAAGAATGTTCTTCAGCAACAAATGCTAGCGACAGAATGAATCGACGACGCTTGCAGCAAAATTTTATCGTTCGTGAATTTTTCGTACAATGCGAACATTCGGGAGAGATTGCAAATGATTTTTCATTCATCGTAACTCTATCATTCGCGATAAATTCCAAACATTCGAATTCTCGCCCGTGAACACTCGTGCACTTTTTTAAGGAAGAATTTGCGCTAAACTACATTTCCCGCGCGTAAAAATGTTTCCCAAATAAATGGAACATTTTTGGCTATGAAAATATATCATTCTCTTATATAATTTCGAATATATTTTTCCTATTTTTTTGTTCAAATTCCCTTGCTGTGTGAACATACCCATTATTATTTATAGAATACAACAAATAATAACAAACCATATATAACAAAATGTGTAATTCCATAGATAATAATAACAATTTAATTAAGATTGTGTTCAAGATCTATAGGTTTTGTACGTGTAAGCCAATATGTAAGTAAGTAAGTATATTTGTATGTATGTAAGTAATCAAACAGCCAGATAACCATACATTTCTATATAGATACTACAACTACTGTATATAATCGAATAAAATTATCATCCCATGGCACAGTTGCTGACAAACTTTCTTAGATCAAACGTGTTGAGGATACCAAGCAACCAACAAGCCAGCCAACAACTCACAAAGAAAAGAAAAACGAAAAGGAAATAAGTTAAGAATCTAAAAGACGTAACAAGAAGTACAAAAAGGAAATCATGAAATTTCTAACAAGTTTGTGTTTAATTGCTTCACTGGCAACAATTGCTTGGGCCAGCAGTGCTGCTTGGGGCCGACGAAATTCAACCGATTATTTGCTATTGCGTGAAAATGTTGTACGAACACCCTTGAAGAATAACTATTGGAGTGTTAATGTGCAATTTCCAAAATCGGTAAGAATAAGGCAAAATACAAAAAAAAAAAAAATAAAATAAAATGAAATAAAAAAGGGAAAGGAAAATTACATGGAATACAAAAAACAGAAAACCATTAAAAAAAAACTTGGCCAAAAAATTTTTTTTAGGTTGTGGTAATGAACGTTTTCATAGTATTTTATAAAAAATATTTTGATCATCACCCATTCTCAATTTAAAAAAAATGTTTTCTTCTCTTATCTCTCTTCTTTCAGGGTCAAGTCAACAAAAGGGTAATCACTGCAATTTTCGTCTATGATCGTTTTACTAACTCTTCGGGAGCTCAACCCAGTCTGTGGTCAGGTGGTCCTAATCTAACCTATGCCACAGTCAATTTGAAGAGTCAAACCTCACGTGGCATAAATTCAACCGTTGAAATTTATGGAAGATAGGCAAAATTAGGAAATATAAAAAAATAAATTAATAAATTTGTAAATAAAATTAAAATTGTGTACATAAAAATTAAAAAATAAACAAAAAATAGCAAATTATAAAAAAGAGTAAAAATAATTTTACATAAGAAAAGGTGTTTATGATTTTCGTTACAGAAAAAATGGTGTTCATTGCCTGAGGATGTGAGAATTTTTTATGTGAGAAAAATCTACTTCTGTTCCCAAGAGTTTTTTTTCCTATAGCAAAAGTCACATTCTCAATTTAAGAGGTATATTTCCTAAAGATAAAAATCACAGCCTCTATGATGATTTTTTTCTATAGAAACAAATCACAACATCAGTTTTTGAGGTATTTTTTGCTTTAGAAAAAAATTCACAACCCAAGGTTCTAATGTATTTTTTTTTTCTATAGAAAAAAATCACAACCGCAGATTCTGAGATATTTTTTCTATAAGAAATCACAACCTCAGTTTCTGATTATTTTTTTCTATAGGAAAAAATTCACACCTCACTGAGGTTATTTTTTTCTTAGAAAAAAATTCACAACCTCAGTTTCTGAGGTTATTTTTTTCTATAGAAAAAAATTCACAACCTCAGTTTCTGAGGTTATTTTTTTCTATAGAAAAAAATTCACAACCTCAGTTTCTGAGGTTATTTTTTCTATAGAAAAAAATTCACAACCTCAGTTTCTGAGGTTATTTTTTTCTATAGAAAAAAATTCACAACCTCAGTTTCTGAGGTTATTTTTTTCTATAGAAAAAAATTCACAACCTCAGTTTCTGAGGTTATTTTTTTCTATAGAAAAAAATTCACAACCTCAGTTTCTGAGGTTATTTTTTTCTATAGAAAAAAATTCACAACCTCAGTTTCTGAGGTTATTTTTTTCTATAGAAAAAAATTCACAACCTCAGTTTCTGAGGTTATTTTTTTCTATAGAAAAAAATTCACAACCTCAGTTTCTGAGGTTATTTTTTTCTATAGAAAAAAATTCACAACCTCAGTTTCTGAGGTTATTTTTTTCTATAGAAAAAAATTCACAACCTCAGTTTCTGAGGTTATTTTTTTCTATAGAAAAAAATTCACAACCTCAGTTTCTGAGGTTATTTTTTTCTATAGAAAAAAATTCACAACCTCAGTTTCTGAGGTTATTTTTTTCTATAGAAAAAAAATCACAACCTCAGTTTCTGAGGTTATTTTTTTCTATAGAAAAAAATTCACAACCTCAGTTTCTGAGGTTATTTTTTTCTATAGAAAAAAATTCACAACCTCAGTTTCTGAGGTTATTTTTTTCTATAGAAAAAAATTCACAACCTCAGTTTCTGAGGTTATTTTTTTTTCTATAGAAAAAAATTCACAACCTCAGTTTCTGAGGTTATTTTTTTTTTCTATAGAAAAAAATTCACAACCTCAGTTTCTGAGGTTATTTTTTTCTATAGAAAAAAATTCACAACCTCAGTTTCTGAGGTTATTTTTTTCTATATAAAAAAATTCACAACCTCAGTTTCTGAGGTTATTTTTTTTTCTATAGAAAAAAACAACCTTTTCTGAGGTTTTTTTTTCTATAGAAAAAATTCACAACCTCAGTTTCTGAGGTTATTTTTTTCTATAGGAAAAAATTCACAACCTCAGTTTCTGAGGTTATTGTTTTTTCTATAGAAAAAAATTTACAACCTCAGTTTCTGAGGTTATTTTTTTCTATAGAAAAAAATTCACAACCTCAGTTTCTGAGGTTATTTTTTTCTATAGAAAAAAATTCACAACCTCAGTTTCTGAGGTTATTTTTTTCTATAGAAAAAAAATTCACAACCTCAGTTTCTGAGGTTATTTTTTTCTATAGAAAAAAATTCACAACCTCAGTTTCTGAGGTTATTTTTTTATAAGAAAAAATTGTTATTAAATAATCGTTTCCTATAAAAATCGACCTCGAATCCAAACATTTATTTTTCCATACGAAATATATTTTTTTCTATACCAAAAATCAACTTCAGTCGTTTAGTAACAAATGACTAATCTTCACTCTTTGCAAAATCAAATATAACTGGTTTATTATTTTCCTATAGAATTTAGATAATGTCCAAAATGTCACCATATAACTCAAATCAAAACCTTGCCCAATATTAACATTGATTCATTGGCTAGAAATTTCGACTTATCATTATTATTGGTGTGTCGATAATCCAATAGAAGGTACAGATAACGATAATGATATAATACACCTGTGGGGGATTTTTTTGTTTAATCATATCGTGAGGGGAAGTTTTCAGCACATAATAACTATCTGTTTCCTAAAAATCTCAAGAGTCACTTAGTCTAGTGTTTCCTTTGAAATTCATAACAGTTATTATTAGATTTTTAGGCAAATAATAATTTAATTGGTATGAATGCAATTCTGAGAATTTTAAACAACATTTTTAAGGCTTAGAAAAAATAAAATTATTTCCACCAAAACCAATAGAAGATAAGCCATATCAATAAAATTGACCATATGCCGCCGAATTATATTAATCTAATTTTTTGGATTGGTTGCAAAAAAAAAAAAAACAAAACGTTATGATAAGCAAATTGACAATTTATCTATTGCCAATATTGACAGTTCATTAAGATAATAAAAGAAAGTAGGAAAATTAACCGCTTTTGCTATAAATACCCTTTGTTATGACAAAAAAGCAAATCAGTTCTATACCGACAACGAACAGAGTTAAAATGGCATTCCTTAAGTACGCTTTAGTTTTTGTGGCTATTTTTGCCACCACCTCGATGGCCATGAACGCCACCTGGGGTAAACGTAACTCCACCGATATTTTGTTGTTGAACGAAACGGTTATTCGTTATCCTGTTGCTAATTCCTTCATTTCGGCTGATGTCTCCTTCCCCAAGAGTGTAAGTATTTGTTTTTCTATTTTTTTTTTGCGACGTAGTGTTATTTTTGTATCTAACTGTGAATTTTCTTTTATTTAGGGCCAATCGAACACCCACAAAATCACCGCCATTTTGGTATTCGACCGTTTCACAAACAGCTCTGGTGCCACTCCAACCTTGTGGTCTGGCGGTCCTGGCTACACCATGGCCCTTGTCAACTTGAAATCTCAAATGAGCCGTGGCATTAATTCCACTGTTGAAATTTGGGGTCAAAAGTAAATGGAATTTCGAATGAACTGTTTAAAATCTATAAAATAAAAATCCGATGCTAGTCAAGAATAAACTATGATTTCGTGTCTTCGATTTATGGAAATGTTTGCTTAAAAAAGGGAAAATTCAGTCATTGAATTTATGGTAGACAAAAAATTCTCTCCAGTGTACATCGATAAAAAAACCATAAAAAAAGGTCATAATCAATTACTGAGAATTTTTTTTTTCAATAGGAAAAGTTAGCCTCAGAAAAAATTCATGCGTAGTTACTCAGTTACTCTATAGAAACAAATCATCTCCAATTACTGAGAATTTTTTTCTACAGAAAAGAGTCCTCCTCTACTATTGAGGAATTTTTTCCAAAAGGAAAAGTTATCCTCAGAAAATAGTCATGATTACGGAGAAATTTGTTTCTATAGAAAAAAATTCACCTTATGTTACTGAGATTTTTTTTATAGAAAATAGTTCTCAGTTATTGAGAATTTTTTTCCTATTGAAAAAATTCATCCTCTGTTGCTGACAATTTTTTCCTACAGAAAGATAGGATTTTTTTCCTACAGAAAAATAGGAGTTGTTTCCTACAGAAAAATAGGATTTTTTCTATAGAAAAAATAAAAAGTAAATAAAAAAAAGTCAGTTACTAAGTATTTATTTTTCTATAGATAAAAGGCCTTCTCAGTTACTGAGGATTTTTCTTCTACAGAAAAATACCCCCTTCAGTTATTGAGGATTTTTTTTCTACAGAAAAAAGTCGTCCTCAGTTACTGAGGATTTTTTTTCTACAGAAAAAACCGTCGTCAGTTAATGAGGAATTTTTTTCTATAGAAAAAAGTCGTCCTCAGTTACTGAGAATTTTTTTTCTAAAGAAAAAATTCGTTATCAGGTACTGAGGATTTTTTTCTATAGAAAAAAGAGTCCTCAGTCACTGAGGAATTTTTTTCTATAGAAAAAAGAGTCCTCAGCGAACTGAGGATTTTTTTCCTATAGAAAAGAGTCATCCTCAATAACTGAGGAATTTTTTCTATAGAAAAAAGTCATCCTCAGTTACTGAGGATTTTTTTTCTATAGAAAAAAGTAGTCCTCAGTTACTGAGGAATTTTTTTCCTATAGAAAAAATTCGTCCTCAGTAACTGAGGAATTGTTTTCCTATAGAAAAAAGTCGTCCCCAGTTACTGAGAACTTTTTTTCTATGGAAAAAGTAGTCCTCAGTTACCGAAGAATTTTTCCCTATAGAAAAAATTCGTCCTCAGTTACTGAGGAATTTTTTTCTATAGAAAAGAGTAGTCCTCAGTAACTGAGGAATTGTTTTCCTATAGAAAAAAGTCGTACTCAGTTACTGAGGAATTTTTTTCCTATAGAAAAAATTCGTCCTCAGTTACTGAGGAATTTTTTTCTATAGAAAAAATTCGTCCTCAGTTACTGAGGAATTTTTTCTATAGAAAAAAGTCTTACTGAGAACTTTTTTTCTATGGAAAAAAGTAGTCCTCAGTTACTGAAGAATATTTCCCTATAGAAAAAATTCGTCCTCAGTTACTGAGGAATTTTTTTATATAGAAAAAAGTAGTCCTCAGTTACCTCAGTTGCTGAGGATTTTTCTATACAAAAAGTAGTCCTCAGTTACTGAGGAGTTTTTTTCTGTAGAAAAAAGTAAAAGGAATTTTTTTTGTGTAGTAGTCCTGAGGATTTTTTTTCATAGTTACTGAGGACGATTTTTTTCCTATAGAAAAAATTCGTCCTCAGTTACTGAGGAATTTTTTTCATAGAAAAAAGTAATTTCCAGTTACAGAGGTTTTTTTTTTAAAAATATTCATTTTAAGATGCTGATGATTTTTTCTATAGGAAAAAATCTTCAGTAAAATCCTTCTGAAGAATATTTTTTATAGAAATTTTCCTATAGAAAAAAATCCTCCTCAATCAATGAGTTTTTTTCGTTTTTCTTTGAGGTATATTGCTTTGTTTACTTTAAATTCTTTAAAAATTAAAGGCATACAAATGATTTGTATTTTTTTTCATCTGTCAATTTTATGATGTTTTTTTCTTAAATCTTAAAAATAAACAAAACACATAAAATAACCTGAAAATTTGTTTATTTCATCATTTCCCTTGTTTTGACGTCCATCACTGGTATTGGTTTGTCAATAAAATTGAATACTCTTTGAATTAGAATATTCCTAGTTGGGTTTCCTATTACCACCTACTATTGCTGTCAATATGTGTGTGTATGTGTTACATATATTCCATTTTATGTCATTTTCTTCAAGGTTCCACACTCACGCAGCCACTAACTAATTGAAAAGAACATTTGAAGTTCGTTCGTTTTCGTTTTTTTTCGTTTCCCAAATTTTATGATCGATCATAAAAGTAACTTAAGCGTTTTTCGTGATATAATCTATCAAAAGAGTTTTTCTTTTTCTTCTTCAATGAATAAAATAAATACAAAACAAAAAAATAATAGCAACAACAACAACATGAACTAGGAAACCCAAACGACAATATAAACAATATTTTGTTGGAGGGGAACACTCACCAGGAACTAACCAAATATTTGTGTGAATGAAATGAGTGTGTTGCATCGAACCACCCGTTAGGATGAAAATAGCCAGCAATAATGGATACTGCTTAGCACAGCACGCAAAGGTGAAGAAGACGGAGAAGAAGAAGATTTACGATTGTAATAAATAATTTTCGACAAATAGTCAACTGACAATTTCGACAAATGGCCAAAACAAAACAAAACAAATAGGTAATGTAAACGAATAGCTAAGAAAAAAAATGAGAGACAATGAAGCAAACCCATCAGAGTCGTGTTGTGACCATAAAAATTTGAACCCAAACGAAATTTGAATCCAAACTGATTCTCTTTTAAGCGACTGCATCCATAGGCTCTGGGTTTGAGGTTTCAAATTTTTATGATAATTTTAAGTGGAGGCTGCTGCCAATTGCATTTAATGCTGACTGCCGTCATCAGTCAGTATCGTTTCAATTAAAATTTATTTCTAACTCACGATATCACTAAGACAACATTGTAATACCAACCAACCTGATGTTATCATCACACAAAGCTTTGCCAAACTTAATTAATTTACGAACTTATATGCTGAAATAAGTTGGGTGACAAATATTGTGAGTTTTACCAAAAAAAAAAAAAAAAAATCACCAGTATTTATATTCAAAATTCATTTGCGTAAATACGATAAATATTTAAATCATGTGCACATATATACATTATTTACTCTAATTGTTATGCGTATTTAAATCGTTTAAATAAATATATGCTTATATGTTCAGTGATGTGTTTAATTGCAAACAAAAACAACAAATATATCAATTTTTGCAAATAATAAAGTTAATGTTTTAAATAGATTGTTTATACGATATAATTATGTTTGCTTAAATAAACATTTAAATTATTTTCAAATGGCCAACAATAAAAAAAATATCATAATAGAGAAATATATTGAAATTTTAAAAACATGTAGAAGAGAATGAGTTGTGTGTTGCCGACAGATATACAGTCTATGGTTTGCGGAGCTCTACGGAATAAGTCTTAGGTTTTATTATTCGCTTGATATAAGGTATAAGTCTTTATCAAGGAGTTGACAATATATGGAGAGATAACAGCTTTACATTTTTTTTAGAACGTGGCCCATTGTGGGAGAGAGAGGAGTAAACTGAAGACTTTTTTGTCTATAGAAAAAAATCAGGACTTTTTTCGGTAGAAAAAATTATCATCCTCATTAACTGAGGAAAATTTGCTACAGAAAAAAGTCATCCTCAGTAACTTAGCATTTTTTTCTATAGAAAAAAGTCATCCTCAGTCACTGAGATTTTTTTTTATAGAAAAAAAAGTCATCCTCAGTCACTGAGATATTTTTTCTATAGAAAAAAAGTCTTCCACAGTCATTGAGGAATTTTTTTATAGAAAAAAGTCATCCTCAGTCACTGATGAATTTTTTTTATAAGAACTGAGGAATTTTCATCCTCAGTTACTGAGGATTTTCTTCTATAGAAAAAAGCCATCCTCAGTAACTAAAGCAAAAAGTCATCCTCAGTCACTGAGGAATTTGTTTTCTATAGAAAAAAGCCATCCTCAGTAACTAAGTAAAGAAAAAAGACATCCTCAGTCACTGAGGAATTTGTTTCCTATAGAAAAAAGTTATCCTCATTTTTTTCTATACAACAAAGTCATCCTCAGTCACTGAGGAAGTTTTTTTCTATAGAAGAAAGTGATCCTCAGTCACTGAGGATTTTTTTATAGAAAATTCAATCTCTGTCAATGAGAATTTTTTTCTATGGAAAAAGTCATCCGCAGTTACTGAGGATTTTTTTCTACAGAAAAGAGTCATCCTCAGTCACTGAGGAATCTTTTTCTGTAGAAAGAAATCATTCTGAGCCACTGAGGAATCATTTTCTGTAGAAAAAATCATTCTCAGCCACTGTGGAATTTTTTTCCTATAAAAAAGTTTTCTTCAATAACTGAGAAAAAAATCATCCTGAGTAACTGAGGAATCTTTTTCTATAGAAAAAATTAATCATCAGTTGCTGAGGATGTTTTTCTATAGAAAAAAAGTCATCCTCAGTCACTGAGGACCTTTTCTATAGAAAAAAGTCATCCTCAGTGTCTGGGGATTTTTTTCTTTAGAAAAAAGTCTTCCTCAGTGACTGAGGATTTTTTTCTATAGAAAAAAACCATCACCGCATCTCAGAGAATGTTTTTCTACTTTTGAGGATGAGTTTTTTTCTATAGAAAAAAAGTCATCCTGAGTCACTGAGGAAGTTTTTTCATATAGAAAAAAAAATCATCAGCAGTTACTGAAAAATTTTTTTTCTACAGAAAAGAGTCATCCTCAGTCACTGAGGAATCTTCTTTTGTAGAAAAAAGTCATTCTCAGCCACTGAGGAATATTTTCCTATAAAAAAACTATCTTCAATAACTGAGGAATTTTTTTCTATAGAAAATGTCATCCTCAGTAACTGAGGATTTTTTCTATAGAAAAAAGTAATCATCAGTCACTGAGGATTTTTTTTCTTTAGAAAAAAGTCATCCTCAGTCACTGAAGAAGTTTTTTTCTGTAGAAAAAAGGTCATCTCCAGTAACTGAAGTATTGTTTTCTATAGAAAAATGCCATCCTGGAGATTTTTTTCTATAGAAAAAATTACCCGGAGGATTTTTTATAGAAAATCTTTATAAAAAGTGGATTTTTTTCTATTGAAAAATGTCATCCTGAGTTGCAGAGGATTTTTTTTCTAAAGAAAAAAAAATAATCATTCTCACTATCTGCGGATTTTTTAAGTGATCATTTTCTATAGAAAAATTTATCCCCTGTAACTGAGGATTAATTTTTTGTGGAAATTCTGAAAAAATAACTATTTAAATTTCCCCAAATCCCCTCCCATGCATCATTGATAATGTCAACGAGATATGTTTGGCATCAATTTCATTATGTGGCTATTAATCCTATATATGTGTGTGCAACATGTAATAGCACACACACACAAACACATATCCACTTGTATAAACATACACATTTTATATGTAAAAAATTTTTATGGTATTTTAATTATCTGCCACAATTTTATGTTAATGAAAAAATTACAACAACAACGAAAAAGGCACTCAAATACTTAATTCCAAATTAAATTGTTTTTAAAACGATTTTTGTTGCACTCACACACACACATATTTTTACAATTCAATCAGAAGTTTTTGACTGAAGTATTAACACAAATTATGTCACAATTTTCTGATGACCCATTAAAATATATAGCAGATAGATGGATGGCCAAGGGCATGATATGGGATTTTTTTTCTTTGTCATTAAATTTTTAATATATAAAAGGTGTATATATGTATGGGTATATGTGATGATTATGACGATGACATTTAAATATGTTTTTCAAGCAAATAATTAATAATGTGAAAAATATGTTATATTTCAGACAAAAAAAAGATCAAGTGGAAAAGTAAATAGTTGGTATGGAATGATATTTATTTTATTTAAATATATATGGAATTGAGAAAAAAAATATATTTTTATATGGTTAAATATTAAAGGTCATATTTAACGATGGAAATAAAATAGTATTTATTTTTGTAATATTTATATTTGTTATATTTATATTATATTTTTATATGCTTAAAAAATTTAGGTTCATATTAAGACTCTTTTATGGAAATAGCAATTGCCTTACCATGGCTTGATTTAATAATTCTACTCTCCTTTAACACTATGGCCTTTCAAACAATAAAGAAATTCAATAAAAATCCATAAAACACATTATCAAAAATATATGTGGGGAAAAACTATCATTTATCTTTATGCCACACGGCAGGACAAAATAGCGGAAGAAGAAAAACGATAAAACCACAGGCAAAAAGTTTAAAGGAATAAGTCCCCACTATACACCAAGCAAAAAACATTAAGCATTACCTCAACTATCAAGTCTCAGCTGAGGAAAGATATGGTGAAACACCCACAGGTTTTTTTTGTGGAAGATGAAGGAATCAAATGATCTCTTTTTTGGGGGAAAAATGGGCTCAAAAGTTGCAAAGGCCCACAATGAAAAAAATAAAGAAATAAAATATTTTATTTTCAATAAGGAGACAACTTAAACAAGGAGTCTTTTATATTTTGCCCCCCTTTAACTTTTCAGCCCAGCTAGCGCAGAAAAAGTATACCCACTTCTTTTTTGAACAATGGTCCACACTGCACCAAATGCAATAGCTAAAAGAAAAATAATAGATTTCTGTTTTGGTAACAGCCAAAAGCATATGGCATGATTTCCTATAATTTCTATAACAAAAAAACTCAAACCAACTAACGGATACAAAAGAAAATCAAAAGATAGCACATGAAATTCAATGAAGCATTTGCTGAAAAAGGTAAGGCAACCCATAGGGGAAGTACCTGGGTACCTGGATTATCGATTATGGTGCCGCTCTAATATTGATGCATTTTTTTATTTTATTTTATAGCTATTGGCCCCACTATTATTACACAGAGATCTCACTCAGCAGCAACATTGGTGTGATACTTAACGGCTAAGCCAATTTTGGGTTGGTGGTGGGGTTGCAATGGAAGTTTGCAAAGCAAGCAAAAATGCAAGTCAATCCACGCCTCATTTAATGTTTGGAGACTTATATGGTGGAAAAAACTTACCGCATTTTAGTTGTGTAATTTTTAGTTAATTAAATTTATTTTAAACTTACCTAAAAAGAAAAAAGAGAAAAAATAATAGTGGATTAGAAACAGTGATAAAAATACTAGAATTTTTTAAATTAAAAAAAAAAAATAATATTAAAATAAAACCAGTGCGCGGAGCAGTATAGTCGAACGGGGCCGACCATATGATACCCTACACAACTCCCACGAAAATCTAACTTTCTGTGATATTTGTAACCTTAACCGCGACATTTGTACCCTCTTGACTAATATTCACTACAGCCCTTCAAATAACTTGCCCAGATTCCCTTCACCTTGGGTTGTGTTGTGATGTTCGGCATTCAATTTTGGTATATCAATATACTCGAAAAAACACAAAAAATTAAGTTTTCGGCCCACTTCATCCCAATATCATTATCTGATCATCACCGAAAAATATAGGCATTGTCCTTGACCATAACTGGGACCTCGCTGAACATTTCAAAGCGATCAGTTCTATATTTCCGCCCTCTAGTGTGTAACTCCCACATCCGGATACATACTACAATGTAATTGGTATCGATTTAAAGGTCAACCACTCCTCTTCGATATACTATCAACATTTTGGGTCTATGTACTTCAGGAGTAAATATATACGGTAAAGAATACAAGTTTTTCATTTTCACACAAACGTCAGGGTCCATTTGACCCGCTAAATATTGACCGATCTTTATCAAAGCAGGCATTCTTATTCTTTGGCCCTATCCCCTTCTCACTGTTAAAATTCGCGATGTTTGGGCGACCAGAAAATCCTGAAAAAATTTAGCATTTGGTTCATTTCATCCCCTAAATATTAACCGATCTTTACAAAAAACAATAGGGGTCTACATTGGCCATTAAAGGTGGGTCTAGGACCAATATTTCGCGGCGTTACAATTAATTGACTTTTTCTATAGAAAATGTTTGCTGAATTGACTTTTTCTATAGAAAAGTTTGCTGAATTGACTTTTTCTATAGAAAAAGTTTGCTGAAATGACTTTTTCTATAGAAAAAGTTCAGCTGAATTGGTATTTTCTATAGAAAACATTAGCTTAAATGACTTTTTCTATAGAAAAAGTTTGCTGAATTGATTTTTTCTATTGAAAAGTTTCGCTAAATTTAATTTTTTGCGTAGAAGAAATTACGGGAAATTGATTTTTTCTATAAAAAAGTTTTCCGAATTTATTTCTTCTATAGAAAAATATTGCTGAATTGACTTCTTCTATAGAAAAAGTTTGACATTCTGATTGAAAAATTTCGCTGATGTACCGTTTTCGATAGAAAACGTCCATTGAATGAATTGTTTCTATTGAAAAATTTTGCTGAATTAACATTTTCTATAAAAAAAGTTCTCTGAATTAACTTTTTCTATTAAAAAAAAGTCGCTGAATTATTTCTATAGAAAAAGTACGTTGAATGTATTTGTTCGCTGATGTGGTTTCCATAGGAAAACTTAGCTTAATTAAAAAGTGTGCTTAATTGATTTTTTTTTTTATAGAAAAAGTTAGCTGATTTTTTATTGAAACAATTTGCTAAGTGGATTTCTTCATTGAAGTGACTTCTTCGATATGAAATGGTAGCATAATTTTTTATTTTCTATAGAAACTATTGTTAAATTAAATTTTTTGATGTAAAATTCTAGCTGAATTGACTTTTTCTACAGAAACATTTTGCTGAATTGACATTTACTAAAGAAAAAGTTAGCTGAATTGATTTTTGCTATAGAAAAAGTTAGCTGAATTGAATTTTACTAAAGAAAAAAGTTAGCTTAATTGACTTTTCCTATAGAAAAATTAAATAAATTACTTTTTCTATGGACAAAGTTAGCTGAATTGACTTTTTCTACAGAAAAATTTAGCTGAATTGACTTTTTCTATTGGAAAATTTAGCAAGATTCTCTTTTGCTATAGGAAATATTAGCTGAATTGAGATTTTCTAAAGGAAAGTATTTTTTTATTTTATTTATTTCTTCATTAAAAACACCTTAAATAATTTACACTAATCATAACCAGACCATGATCATAAATCCACATGTCTCCTATTTTAGACGGAATTCTCAGAAAATTTCCATTTTTAACTCAATTATATACATTAGTAAATATTTGGATTCCAATAAAAAGTAATGGTGTAACAATTATTTTTAATTAGAATCCAAATATTTACTAAAATCTCCCAAAAATCAATTGTTTTATTATACCCCTCGTTTTCCGAAGCAAATGCCATGCTAAGTATTTCGAATCACAGGAAATGCTTGTATTTATTTTGTTGGAGATTTTCAGTATTTTGAGATTACAGCCAAATATCGAACCAAACAAACAACAAACCAAACAGTCTGCCGGGCAGGCAGTCAGCCATACAGCATCATCGTTCAATTTTTGTTGTTATTTTTAGGTTTAGTTACAGTTTTCCATTCGATTTGTATTGCAGTATGTGTGTGTGTTTGTGTTGGTGCCTGTGTTTGTCTATGTATTGTGTTTATTTGATTGATTGATCGATTTAAAAAAGCAATTGCAGTATTAAAAACACAAACAAACAGAGAGAGGGACAGAAGGACCGGCAGACAGACGAACATAGACCAAGAAACAAACAGCAAAGGGATATAATGATGAACGAGAATGCACCCAAACAAAATAATGGCAAATGCATGCTGATGACGATGACTGGTTATTGTTATGGGGGGCAAATACCGCAGAGAGTAACCTCAGCGAAAACGAACAGACCCAAAACATATCAGATGGCAAATATCATCATCATAGGCAGCAGGAAGAGAAGTAGCGGTGGCAGCAGTTGAGGGGCTCGGGTTCGAAAACAAAACCACAATACTTTTGCCTAGATCCCTGTGTTTTTTGGCTTCTTTCTTTTTTTTTCGGTGAATAGAAAATTTTTGTGTGCAAAATGCATAAATGATACTCTGCTGCATTCAGTCATTTACTGGCTGACTAAATGATGCCAGGCAAGGCGGGAGGTAAGGAGTGAGTGAGTTAGGGTAGAGGGTAAGGGGCTGAATGAATTTTGCATCAAGCTTAGAGATTTGTTTGTAAACTGCAATCAACCACAATGGTTGGGTTGGCTGGCAGGCTGCTTGTTTGATACCATCCAGCCAAGCGAACTACCAACCAAACGGTAGGATGGTAGAGGTTGCCTGTGTGTGCTTCATGCTGTTGCCCTGGCATTATTATTGTTGCCGGAAATGCAAGGCTCCTAATCTGCACATTGATGGCAACAACAACAACCATGATGATGACGATGATTTGCTTCATTCATGGCAGAAAATGAGATTTGTTGCAGCAGCAATTTTGCAAATTAACTGATGCCATGCTGTCTATGTCTGTCTGTCGACTTGACTGTCGTTCAGTTGGCTGGTCCAAATTGGAGGCATTTTTGTTTTTTGTTTAATTTTTTGAGCTTAGCTCTTGATGCCTGGCGTGTGTCTAATGTTGCGCTTGACTATTCTCCTCAAACGTATGCCTGCCTGCCAGGCATCCGTAACGTTTTACGAACGTTTCGCGGTTAGAATTAACGAACGGTGTTTGCCAGCAATGGCTTCGAGTGTGTGAAGTGATGTCTATGATTATGCCCAAAAATGAATCACAACGCAAAAATTAAAATGAAAATAAAATTTAATATGATTACAATTTTCGTTGTGACTGTTGTTTTTGTTGTTGCGGCATTCGACACTCAATGCAATTGAAGAAAGTGGTGCATGGAAGCATGACTGCTGCATGCATGTGGAACATTACAGTGAATTTAGTTTTTTTTTTTTAAAAAGTTTGCTGTATTGACATTTTCTATAGGAATAGTTAGCTGAATTAAGTTTGGCTATAGGAAATGTTAGTTGAATCGAGTTTTTCTATAGAAACGATAGATAGTTTAGGGTTTTCTATTACAAAAGTGACTGAATTGTATTTTTCAACAGAAATTTTTCTTTAACAGTATTTTTTTGGAGAAAAAATTTGCTGAATTGACATTTATATTTAAAGTTGTCGAAATTGAATTTGTTAATAGAAAAAGGTTTGTTTTTGTCCAAACATTTAGCTGAATTGACCTTTATGCATACTAGTTGTCAGAATGGACAGTGTATATAGAAACAATTTTGCTGAATTGACCTTTTCCTACAGAAAAAGTTAGCTGAATCAATTTTTTTTTATAGAAAAAGCTAGCTGAACATAGGTTTTTTTCTATATAAAAAGTTTGCTGAATTGATTTTTTCTATAGAAACTGTTAGCTGAATCAACTTTAATTGAGTTTATCTACAAAAAATAGCTGAATTGGGTTTTATATTAAACATGTTAGCTAATTTGAGGCTTCCTAGAGAAAAAGATAGCTGAATTGACTTGCTATTTTGAAACGTGTAGCTGAAGTGGTTTTTTTCGAAAAAGTTAGCTTAATTGAGTTTTCTGTAGAAAAAGTTAGCTGAATTTGATGAATTAAAGTTTTCTATAGAAAAAGGTAGCTGAATTGCCTTTGTTATAAAGAACCTTAAAAATATTCGCCTTTTGGAGTAGATTTTTATCTACACCCTATACTCTAAAGAATATTTTTCTAAAAATCTACGCCATATGGAAAAACGCCCCTTCCTAGACCCCAAAAATAATTTTTTTTAATCTTCGCTTTTTGGTGGAACTAAAAAAATATTGTTTTTAAAATCTTCGACTTTTGTTAGACCTTCAAAAATATTTTTTCTTAAATCTTCGCCTTTTTTAGACCCTAAAAAATATTTGTTTAAAAATCTACGACTTTTGATAGACCTTAATTTTTTTTTTAATCTACTCACAATGGTTGACATTTTTTTTTTGCAAATTCACGCCTTTCGTGGAGCCAAAAATATATTTTTAAAAATCAACGCCTTTTGGCTGACTCAAAAAAATTTTTTTTTAATTCTACGCCCGTTGGTAGACCCTTAGGAATATTTTTTTTAATAAATTACGCCTTTTTTGGACCCGGAAAAATATATAGTTCTAAAACAGAAAATGTGTTCTTTAAAAAATCTAGTTTTTTTGGTAGACCTTAAAGAATATTTAAAAATCTTCGGGTTTCGGTAGATCCAGAAAACTAATTCTTTAAATCTACTCCTTTTGGTAGACCATAACATTTGTTTTTAAATATGTGCATTTTGGTAGACCAAAAAAAATTTAAAAATCTACACTATTTAGTAAATGCTACACATATATTTTTGGTAGACCCTAAAAATATGATTTAAAAATATATTTGTTTAAAAATCTACGCCTTTTGGTAGACCCTAAAAATATTTTATTCAAAATATAAGCCTTTTAGTAGACCCTAAAATATTAGTTTTAATAATCTACGCCTTTTGGCAGACCTAAAAATATTTTTTTAAAACATCTGCTATTATTGGTGGACACTAATTTGTTAATTACGCCATTCGTAGGCCCTAAGCAATATTTTTTAAAAAATCTACCCCTTTTCGTAGTCCATAAGAAATATTGTTAAAAATCTTCGTCCTTTGGGGGACATTAAAATTCAGAGATTTATTTTTTTAAATTTAAACCCTGATCTCCCCATTCGAAATCCTTATCCTTGTGATAATTTTCCTATTGCATTAAAAACAAATATTTTCCCCAATTTTCTCCAAGTGCACCACGTTATATTTCGCCAGCATGCTGAGTCATTCGCAATAAACATTTTTGTTTGCAACGTGATGTTAAATCTGAAGGAATTATAACACGAAATTCAGCACTTAAGGCGATTTGTGACTTTGATGGTGATGTTGATGCTGATGCTTATGGCTCAACTGAGCAGAGTTGAGTTTAATAATAAAAAATTCGAATGGCGAATAAATATTGCAGTATTTTTTATTGGCTGGAGTTTACTCCAGATAGTCATAGTGGGTAACCATA